CTGTTTCCAGAAGAGCCACCATGTCAGGTTCTGTGATGTCTTCAGCCTTAGCATCTAAAGGTAGAGGCAAGCGTGACAACCAATCCGCCATATGGTTGTGTAAACCTGCCCGATAAATGACATCGTATGAGAAGCATAACAATCTGGCAGACCACCTAGCGATGCGCATACCTGCACGGCCTAAACCTTTAGTGGCCAGCAAGGTGTTAAGCGCCTGATGATCTGTGCGAAGCGTGAACCTGGTACCCCACAGAAATGTTCTCCATTTCTCCACAGCCCAGACACACGCCAGTGCTTCTTTTTCCACAACTGAATACTTCCGCTCAGCCGTGCTTAATGTGCGTGAGGCAAAAGCAACTGTCTTTTCTGTGCCATCCGGATGCACTTGAGTCAAGACGGCTCCCAACCCATAGTCAGACGCATCTGTAGAAACTATTGTAGGCAGGCTGGGGTCAAAGACTGTCAGAGCAGCACTGTTTACAATGCCTGATTTCACCTTTTCAAAGCTCAGCTGAGCAGCCTCAGTCCAATGAAATGTATCATTCCGCAAACATTCCCTCATGGGCTCCACCAAAGTAGCATAGTTGTCCAAAAACTTTGCGTACCAGGAGGTGAGTCCCAGAAATGAACGCAGAGTAGGTGCATCACTAGGCGCCGGGGCCTCAGTGATGGCCTTGATGTGTTCCCCATCTGGAAGCAGACCCTGAGCAGAGATTACATGTCCCAGGAACCGTAAGCTGGTCTGGTTAAACTGGCACTTTTCCACATTAAGTTGCAGTCCAGCTTCCTTGAGAGCAGCAAGAACAGCTTGTAAGTTGCAGTCATGGTCCTTTCTGTCTGCACCATAAACAATAATGTCATCCAGATAGTTCTGAACACCTCTGAGACCTTTGAGTACAATGGACATCATTCTGGAGAATGCGGCTGGCGCTGAACATAGACCATATGGAACCCGCTTAAATCTGAACAGTCCCTCGTGTGTTATGAAAGCGGTCATGTCCCGGCTCTCCTCTGCCAGTAGTACTTGATGATATGCGTTGGCCAAATCTATCGTGGAAAACACTTTTGCACCTCTCATTTCAGCGAATAGGTCGTCCATATGAGGAAGTGGGTAACTATCCATCACTATAGCCTTATTTGGTTCACGTAAGTCCACACACATCCTCACTGTCCCATTTTTCTTCTGTGTGACAACAATAGGGGACACCCATTGGGATGCTTCTATCCTCTCTATAACATCCAGGTTCATAAGTCTGTCGATCTCTGCAGAAACAGCTTGTTTAACGGACAGAGGAAGCCGGCGTAGTTTTTGCTGAACTGGTGTGACCCCCTCTTTCACTTTAAGGCAGTGAATGAACCCTTTGGCCAGTCCTATTTTATCTTCAGCTGCAGGTTTAGCTCTGATTACCTCAACTGTGCCTGGTGTTTCTGGAATGCTCACTGCATCTTTATCAATAGTCAGTCTCAGTGCTCTGAATAAGTCCATGCCCAAAAGCGCTGTGCCAGCTTTAACTACATACAGCTCGGCTTGAGCTGCAACTGAGCCATGTTGGACTAGAGCAGTCAAACAGCCCAAAACTGGAACGTGATCTTTGGTATAAGTCACTAACCTTTTTGGAGGTTCACTCAGTGGCACATGCTGGAAGTAGTTTTCATACAGCCGCTCAGGAATGATGGACACTGCAGAACCTGTATCTACCACAAGTTCCACTTGACATGTTGTTGATTGTGCAGTCAGGGACACATCACAACAGATTTTGTCCACCTCTTGTCCATTATGAATCATCTGCACTGTATTTAACTCCAGTACAACCATCTCTCCCACATCAGCTGTGTTTTTTTTGTATTTACATACACGAGCAAAATGTCCTTTTTTGTTGCAATTTCTGCATGTCACCTTTAACGCAGGACATTCTGGTGCATCAGCAAGGTGTGTAGCAGCTCCACATCTGTAACAAGCTCTCTCTTGTTTTCTAGTGGTTTTGTATTCCTCTGAGCGAGCATTTTTATTTCTTGCCTTGAATGGACGTTTTGGTTTCACTTTCACTTCCTGTACAGCTGCGGCTTCTGTCGTCGCTGAAAGAGTGCGCGTGCCCAATGGCTGCCTCCACTTGACATGCTAATTTCAGTACTGTGTTGAGGGTAGGGTTAGCATCTGTCTGGACCAAAAGCCTCTCACGGACTCTAGGACAACTTGCATGCTCAATCAGCTGGTCACGTATCATTTCATCTGTATTTGCAGCAAATCCGCATGTTGCTGCTAGCTCTCGCAGCACACCCACATATTCCATTATGTTTTCATGTGGCTTCTGCGCTCGTTGTCTGAATTTGTGTCTTTCCACCACAACATTTATAGCTGGGGTAAAGTGTGCCCGCAGAGCCTGTACAGCTGCATCATAAGTAGTACCTGCCTCTGCAAATGAGTAGAATATTCTCTGCCCTTCTGTGCCCAAGCTGTGTAGAAGAAGCGCGCGCTTACGCGCGTCGGGCCAGTCATCCCCCTCCGCATGGATAGCAAGCAGGTAGTTCTCGAACATTTTCATCCACATGTCGAACGGAATTCCTGGTTGTCCAGGGCAGAGGGGCAGGGCAGAAACAGAGCAGGAAGCGGCACCCCCGCCATCCCATCCTCGTCGCCAATTTGTTATATTCCAGCTAGCTCAGGCAGAAATAGGAAAAACAGGCAGCGTAGACTCGAGTCTCAGAACACCATCATCCTTTATTCTACGCCTTTTCTTCTTCACATCGCAAACACCACAGTGCCACCTTTTGGTCAGATACAGGAACTACATCTAAGAACACAACAGATCAATAAATATTTCCACTTCCTCCAGTTTGCTGGACGTCCTCCAGTTGGGACAGGTCCAGGCAGCGGTGGACTGGCCACCTGTGAGTTCTGGAGAATCCCAGAATGGCCAGACATGCAAGTAATTTTATCAGCTGTTTAACATCATTCAGTACAGTTTTACACACTGCAGAGTCAACAATAAAATGTTATGAATAAAAAAGAAGAATTTTATCCCTTCCAGTCAGGAAAAAATCAGGAATGTTTATGGAAAACCAAATCTTCAATATAAGAACCACATTTTTTATTATTAAGGGCCTGCCCCTTTAAAGGGAGGCCATTATTGTTCTTACTGTTTCTTTATTAGAGGCCTGTCACTGAGATACATGGGGAGAAAGTTGAAAACAATTGTTGAGTAACAGAGGCGGTTAAACCATCAGGGTGTACCACAAATGCCACATCAAGAGTTGGTTCTGCAACTAAGTATGTGTGATTTTGTGTAACTCTTGCATATTTGTTTTTAATGGATTTCCATGCGTGCCTGATTGCTGTTCAGGAGCAGTTACTGCAATGTTTGATGGTTATTTTCAATACCAGCAGCAACATCCCCTTCTAGAAACCACACACACAGACAACCACATTATTTGTCATGCTTGAAGTGAATGTTTAGAGAAAAGGGGACTTCATTAGTGAAAAATCATAAAAATTTTATGGTGCAAAGAAAGAAAGTCCAATGAATTCAACACTGATCCAACAATTTTTTCATTTATTTTTTAAATGTGAGGATCTTTGCTCTGATTTTGGGGTTGTCCAGAGGGGGTGCCCCAGGGCTCAGTCCTGGGGCCCCTCCTATTTATCTTGTACATCAATGACTTGGGCCAAAATATTAAACATGCTAATATCCATTTCTATGCAGATGATACGGTCATCTATTGTTTTGGAACATCACTTTCTCAGGTTGTTGAATACCTGCAGAAAGCATTTGACGTAGTCCAGCACTCATTGCATCAGCTAAAGCTAACCCTTAATGCTGAGAAGACTAAGTTGATGTTTTTTACAAATAGGCAAATACCGAATAGTGTTCCTAAACTAATCACATTGGAAGGGAAAGTCATACAGATGGTCCATGAGTATAAGTACCTAAATGTTTGGATAGATAACTCCCTTACCTTTAAATCTCATATAGATAAACTGGTGAACAAATTAAAACTAAAGCTGGGTTTCTACTTCCGTAATAAGTCGTGTTTTTCTTTTGAAGGAAAAAAGCAACTTGTCACTACAACCTTTTTATCTGTACTAGATTTTGGTGATGTATATGAATACTACTTTAACTGTGCTACAAAATCTGGACTCTGTTTACCATGCATCTCTAACATTCATCACAAACTGTAGAGCCATAACACATCACTGTGAATTATATTCATGAGTAAAATGGCCGTCACTGGCAATAAGACAAAATCATTGGCATGTTTTTATTTACAAGGCAGTGTTTGGATTGTTACCTCCTTATATTTGCACATTAATCACACGAAAAAATGTTGGTTCCTATTCTTTAAGGTCTAACGATCAGTTGCTACTTTCTGTTCCTTTTGCTCGCACACAGTTAGGAAAGAGAGCCTTCGCCTGCTCTGCTCCTTCTGCTTGGAACCAGCTGCAGAAAACCTGGAAAATGGCTGAGCAGGTTTCACTAAATGCCTTTAAAACCAAACTGAAAGCTTCAGAGACTGCATTAGTAACTTGTAATTGCTTTTAATGATTAAGTGTTTTATCATTGCCATTACGTTGTAACAGTTTGTATTTTTGCTGCCTCTTGGCCAGGACACCCTTGTAAAAGAGGTTCTTAACCTCAATGGGTCTCTATCCTGGTTAAATAAAGGTTAAATAAAAAAAATGATCCAACATGAAACATTTTGCAAGTTCATATGATGATATCTATTGGTGAAAATATCCTCCTGCTGCTGTCTGCTACAGTAAGTTGTGTTTAAGCAAAATTTAAAGTTGTTAAGGACATGGTCTAAGAAAAAAATTTATAAATATTTACACATTCTTAGTTAAAATGGTGGCAAGCCATCATTGTCTCACTACACAGGAAGATTCAAAGCCATTCTTTATTAAAATACTCCAAACAAAGCATTTAGTTTAGATCTCTTAAAGTCTTTTGCAAAAACTGAGAATCCCATAAATTATTTCCATGCATCCAAGTTCAGCTCCAGAAAACCAGTGGACAGGGTAATTTACAGTGTCTCATGAAGAGTAAGTTAGAAAAAGAACAAATAAAAATCAAGCTAAACAAGTCAAATGTTTTAAAAGAACGTACAAAAGCAAATATAATGTTGCTGCAAGTTTTGTTACCCACTGAAAATACCAGGACATTGCTTACTCAGTAAATGTTACTATCTGAATTCAAGATTACAGACACAAATATTATCTCAAAGAAATATACATCAATTGTTGTGAACGAGAATCAGTTCTGCAACTGTTACACTAAAGAGAATATTGATCAAATCCAACCGCTCCCTCACTAAGCTTGTTTAAATGCCACCAGGCCTTGAACCCAATCTTTAAAGACACAAATGTGACAAAGCAAAAATACATTTCTGTGGACCTGAGAGTCCCTTAAAGCTGCTGTCCGGAGTTTAGCCCTTTCAGGAATTGTGTATGATTTTTCAGAAATCCGTTAAAGTCTTTGTCTTATCTATATGTCTTTGTCTTACTATAATATAATGTAGGAAATACGTCTTTTTAAATTTTTTTTGCTAAGCCCACACCCTGTCCCTTAGGTCTCTATGCAATATGAACTAGCACCGGTCAGCGCTAGCCAATAGAGTTAGACCACCACCTATGAACAGACGTGCTCGAGCGTTTAAGGACACACCTCGGGTGATGTAGAGTTGGCGACCTTACTCATGGACAAGTAAAGCCTAATTCATGCTTCCCTTTCTGCGTCGGTATGGAGACACACAACGTCATTATCTGTTGTTGCGAGGGCTCTCCAACAAACATGCAACGACGGACGGAGTTGAGCCCACTTTTCTAAACTTTGTCCAACAAGATGGAGAATGCAAGGTTGTGACTGGCCAGGACGCCGCTTCCCTTAAATTAATCAACAGCACCGCCATTGCACTCTCAAAAAAATAAAGAGCTGAGGATCTTTAGCGGCAGACACTGAGCAGCTTGAACAATACTTTGCTTTAAAACAGGACCGCTTATTCACCCGTGACTGGAGGAGTATAAAGACGCACGTCAAGTGTTTTACTCGTGGACGGAAATGACGGGTAATGTGGGTTTAGAGGTGGCGAGCGCATGAGGTGGAGGAGAATGAGGGACAAATTTGTCCATGTTAAAAAGACAAAATACACAATATAAACCTAATAATAAATTACTATCTATTACTATCTTGGACCGGACACATAACAGGGTATCCCAGAACAGCGCTGCACCCTCTGTTGTCCTGTTGAGGAATGCTTTGCAAAGTTCTGTGGGAGATGGAGAAGTCTTAAAGGGAACTCTGGCCATGAGGACGTGTGTGCCCTAATAAGCCACAAGTCTTCTGTTGTACCAAACTATGTTGTCAGAAACACTTACAACATTGCTGTTTATTCATAAATCTATAATATTTATTATTTTTTGACATACGCAGGACGTCATGTTTTCCGCACGCAATGCACTCTGGGAGAGATGACGTATATTGGTTGCTCTTGGAAGAACAGCTATTGACGCTAGTGTTTGTTTATGCGCTCACGTTTTAATAATTAAGTAAAATGCCGCATTGTGCTGCTTTTTGATTATGTTTTTAATTTCCAGTCAAAGGGCAACAAGGGGAGTGTTGTGAGTTTACACAGCTTTCCCACCGGCAAGAAGAGGAGAAAGCAGTGGGAAGATGCCTGTGGACGGACACAACTTCCCAACGATCTGCGGCTGTGTTCCTAAAATTTTTCTTCTGATGCGTTTGAGGCTTATAGTTGACCACAACTACTTAAAGAGCTCACCAGAGCGGCCGGGTGTATGAGAAGGTGGAAACTAAATGCTTTACCGACCATTTATCCACACAAGCAGCCTAAACGCCCTCGGAGAGACGAGATGCTGGACGCTCTCCTGAGCTGACAACCCGCTCCTGCAGCTGCCGCTTCTGTCATGTTCAGCGAACCATCGGACATGCCACTCATCACAGATGAAGCTGAACATTCACCTCTCCCATCAGTAAAACAAGCAGTAAGTGTAGCAATACAGTGTTCTCCAAATATATAATATCTGCAAAAACGATTAAAGTCGTTTCACAGAATATCCTAATCTTCTATGAAGCACACACCAGCTCTGGATGCTAATATTCTCCTAAATCACTCATAACCGAATAAGTTTGATCACACGATAGCTTATTGTTAACTACTGCTGACAAAAATGTGAGCTCTTGACGACAAACACTCTCCCTCTCGGTTACCACGGAGACACATTTGCCGCACACGCACCACCGGTTTTGTCCTGCTCTCGCTTCATCCCGCCCTTCTTGCTCTTCATGTTGATGCTCGTTTTGTGAAACATGGTCAGTGATGTCATCATTAATGTTTCACTCTGGTTCAAACTGAAAAGGCTGAACAGATGACATGTTGATGTCACTGAACAGTCCCTACAGGGTCCCAAAGCCGGTGGTGCAACCGAGGTACAACTATGTGACATCACTACCTAGAGTGCATTGTGGCACTAACAACAATGGCAACATTCGAGTTAAACTATTTTTACAAATTTAATAAAAATGAAGAAATTAAGAAGGTTTTTACACCATTTTAATATAACTGATACTAACATTTATCTCTTAAGAACCACTAAGTTTTGTAACCTGGGTTCCTTTTAAGGCAAAACGTCTCCGTCAATCCACACTCATCTCTCCTTTGTGGAGCTGACGCAGAAGCATGAACTAGGTTTTAGTCTTTTAAATACAAACATATGAAAAAACAACATAACGTGAGCATAATAATCATAAAATAATGTGTTTTATCTCTGTTTTGATGGCTAGAGGAACGCGTTTATGAACGAGAGGCGTTGCTTTTGGCCATAAGTGAAAATAACATTTTGTGTGAAATGCTTGTCAGTTGTTATCTGTGATAAGCACTACAGAAATAAAACATACTTATGTACTTGCTGAAAAACTAGTTCATGCATTTATTACATCAAGACTGGATTACTGTAATTCATTACTCTCAGGAAGTCCACAGAATGTAGTTAAAAGTCTTCAGCTTGTCCAAAATGCTGCAGCTAGAGTTCTGATGAGAATTAACAAGAGAGATCATATCTCTCCTGTCTTAGCTTCCCTACATTGGCTACCTGTTAAATTCAGAATAGATTTTAAGATCCTTCTTCTCACATATAAAGCTCTTAATACTCAAGCTCCATCATACATCAGTGATCTGATTGTTCCATACGTTCCTAACCGAGCACTTCGCTCTCAGACTGCAGGTTTACTGGTGGTTCCCAGAATATCTAAAAATACAAAGTTCATTTTTACTACAATTACAGTAAAATCTTTGCTGTGTGTTTGTGGTAACTGTACATGGATAACATAAAATGTTCTTTCTATCTAATTGTAAAATATGTATTATGATTCATTTATCAATCTCATTGCATTCATTTGTGCAGGAATAAAATAGACATTAAAGGGACAGCAGTGGATCAGGAAGTAGAAGGCCAAGGGTTGCTGGTTTGATTCCAGCTCTTTTTGCATAACTCCTGTAGGATAATTTAGCCACCTTGCTGCTTTGCTACTTGTGTGGATCGGATAAAAGCTTACGTGAAAACCAGAAACAAGTGAGAAGAAGAATGAGCACCCATAAGTATGTAACAAGACAGAACCGTAGCTTCCTACCTAATCTCGTATACCTCTGAACTCCTGGTCTTCTACACAGATGTACTGTATTTAGCCACTAATGCTTACGGACAGCAGAAATAACCAGAGGAGCAGCGTTTTCGTTTTTTACAGTAAGATGTGGACTGAAATACGGGACAATCTGATCTCTGAATGAACACTCAGTGAATGAGTAAATGTGGGATCGGTTTGTTACATCATAGAAGGACACAAGCCCCCCCTCGTAGTCTACAAACACGCCTACTTTCTGAGGTTTCTGCTCCAGAGGGAGGCTGGTGGGCGGTACCGTCAGAGCTGCGTACTTTGTGTTTTCGTAGTGCACCGTCACCCAGAAACCATTGTCCGAGTTCACTGAGAGAATCCCTTTACGGTTTGCTTTGCGTCGTGCTACACCCAGATCCCAGCCAGTTTTGTTGCCGACCTCTACCTCCCAGTAGGACTTCCCAGAGGTTATGACATTCATCCCGAGGACACTGCCGAACATATCAAACCTCTCCGGAGCATTGGAAAGATTTGGCTTCATTCCTCCATCTCTCACTTTCTTCTTGTCCTCAGACAGGATGAGGCACTGATGGGCTGTAGACGAGTCCAGCTTCACATCCACTGTGGCCAAACAATAACAGTTACCACTTACCAATGAGATCATGATACAGCACAGATGTTTGCATGAAAAACCATAAAGGCATCTTGCCAATTCTTTGTTGCCCTTTGGATAAAGAGGACCTTGATGGAAACACCTCAGCGGGCCCACTGTCCTAAATGTTTTCCGTGTCTCTGCTTCTGCACACCTGATTTACAGTGGCTCCTCAGGAAGACATCAAGTGCTGCAGATGCCTGTTAATCACTCATTCGTTTAAGTCAGGTGTGTGGCAGCAGGGAAACCCTGGTGTTTACACAGGCAACATGGAAAACATGGAGGACAGCATGCCCTGAGGACCGGGGCTGGGAAACACTGCTCTATAGAACTAAGCTCTCCTTAAACCTGTGAAGGACCTTCCATAACTACCTGCAGATGGCCTATTGCAGTCACTGACTGTCTGATTTATTATCAGTTAATAAATACATACATACGTGCAAATGCTGGAATCCTCTTGAGCTCTGGAAAAGCAGGTCAGAAGAAGTAATTAAGGGTCAATAAAGCAAATATATTAATCAGTAGAACTACAACAGAAAGCAGAAATGTTGACCCACCAAGAGAAGAGAGGTTTTCCAGCTTCTTCTGGATCTCCTTCATCATGGTAGAAGTTGTAGCTTTCAGGGAACCAAACGAAAAGGAAGTTTCAACTTTGACAACTCCCCAGCTTGTAGATTCATTTGTGTTGGGTAGAACAGGATTCTGTTTGCAGAAAGTAGTAAAACTGATCACAGCCAAGGTCTGATGCATCAGGAGTTCAACAGATGTGATAAAAGTTGACTAATTAAAATGTTTAGTGGTTCAGGCTCCAGGTCCTAAACTGGTCATGGAGACTTCTCACCTGCAAGTCTAGTTCGTCCAAGGAGTCTTTGAGACTGTCAATTTGTTTTTGCAGCTCCAGCAGCAGATCTGATGATTCTCTTTTCACTTGCTGTCTCCTAGGAGTAACAAAATCATTTCTTTTACCATTCTCTTGACTCAGATATGCCCTGCGTTACAAACTTTGGAACTCTCTACCTGCTGACCTAAAACTAGAAACGGACAGTAAAGTTTTAAACAAAGAACTCAAAAAATGGTTTAAGTCTAAACAACAATGTCTACATGAATAGTTTGAAAGTCTTACATTGCTGCTCAAATTGCCTTGTTTTATTCTTTTTATTCTTTTTTATTGAAAATTGTTTGCATTTTTAATCTGTTTTCTGTTTGATTTATTGTTGATCTCTTTGTATTTTATTTAAATGTACTCTACCTTTTAGAAAGGTTCTATGGACAAGTGTTGCAAATTAGCACGTGTGCTAACCAGTGTTGGGAGTAACGCCGTTTAAGTATAACAGCGTTTCTAACGGCGTTCTTTTATAGGTAACGGAATAATCTAATTAATTACTTTTCCCGCCGTTGCAACGCCGTTACCGTTACTGGGGACGGAAGGTTGTGCGTTACTATGTGCTTGTCGAACGTTGAGCAGCAGCGTGAGGCTTTCTGACCGCCACACTTCAGCTGCAGCCAGGGAGAGAGAGGTGTCGGTAACACACTTACAAACACGATGATGATTGGCCGGGTGGGCGGAGACCCTCACGGTCTCAGTCACTGCATTCTGTAGACACAATGGGAATAACTCCGTTTAAAATAACCGCGTTAATAAAAAATATTTCTTTCTGTAACGAGCAAACTAATAAATTTCGTCTTCTTATATCAAAACGTCGTTTCTGTTACTGATAAGAAAATGCGTGCAGCAGCGAATCTGCGGGTCTGCAGCCGTGCCCTTCTTAGCGTGACAGCGGGACGTCCCGAAGGTCCGCTCACCTGTTCACCGCTCAGACGTCCTGATCTTCTGTCTTCCTAGATCATCCAGCTGTAACCTGTTTCTGATCATGTCTTTAGTCCTGCTGTAACACTGATGCATCAGTCTCAGACGACATGGAGCTCAGGTGTTATCAGAACTACCTGTGTGTGTTTACCACCCAGCTTCAGCTCTTCTGTGGTTGGGTCTGACCCAAGTTAGTACATTTAAGTCCTCCATCAGATTTGTGCCTCTTCTAGTGTCATTTTAAAGGATATTTATTTATTTATTTATTTATTTATTTATTTATTTAACCATTACTAGATTACCAGCAACAGAAATGCTGCTGAAAACACACAATTATGTGAAGCTGGAAAAATTAAAATGCTGTGCAAAATTACATTTATTTCTGTAATTTAACTAGACTGAGAGACCATTTAAAGGCTCGGGAACCTTTACAGGTGTTTCTATTTGCAATTTTAGTTTTTAGCTGATTGGGTTTTTGTTAAATATCACACAGTGACCTTTTAATAGTCTAGATTAGTGTAATGCTCCTGTTAGTAGTTCCTCCTGTTAAGTGCTTATTTATTTAAATTATTCAGGTTTATATAAAACGTTTGGACATACATTTTATTTATGTTCAGTCATTAGTCATTTATATTTTACTATTGTAGTAATTCTTGCATTCTTTAATGAAAAAAGTAACTAAGTAGTTACTTTTGTTGGTAATTAGTTACTTTTATGATCTTGTAACTCAGTTAGTAACTGAGTTACTTTTTTGACAAAGTAATCAGTAACTATAACTAATTACTTTTTTAAAGTAACGTTCCCAACACTGGTGCTAACACACTAAACAATGCATCTGGTTCGTCCAATGTAATTGCTGTGTCCATGTCAAATAAACAAAGACTAACTAACTACCGCTGGACCAAGCAGCACCAACCTGATCTCCACGGGGTCGAGGGCTTTCTGCCGCGCGTCCTCCACAACTTTGATCACCTCTGAGAACACATTGTTGATCTCCATCCACTCAGCTTCCAATCTGTCCTAAAACAGAGACAGAAACAGAAACTTTAAAGTAATATTCAAACTAAAATCAAAACATTTTCAAGTCTCTCCAGCTTACCTGGCACAATTTTACAGATGTAATGACTTCAGCCATCTTTTGCTCTTTCACGTACATTTTCTGCTTTAAATCAGCCCTCATCTTGTCTTGCCACGCCTTGAGACAAACCATAAAGAAGAGAAACAGCCAGTAGAAAAAACAGGACAAAGATCCTGTACTTAAGGGTTGGGACACTGGTGTTTTGCATCAAAAAACAAAATACAATCATCATAAGAATCATTTGTGAAGAACAAAATAACATCTAATTTGAGCTCATTAGCATGCTAACACTTTTTTACTCTTCTGGCACACTTGGCAGTTTTGCTTACTTTGGTAAATTTACTGGCCTGCGTCTTCTGTTTTGGTTCGACTTTGTGCCAGAATTGACGCGGCTCGCGAAAAAAAATAGAGCACATGCCGAAACAATCGCTGCACGTCGCGAGCCCTCGACGCGCTTCGCAACTGATGTGCTCGAGACCGTAGGTTAACAAGGGTGATGAATAGAAGCGCTCTTCGTTCCACGGCGCTTCACGGCACATCATCGTGTTTCCGTGTCTGATGTGATCCAGGTGTTACAGGTGCAGGCCTGGCATTCTGAAGTTGCAAGTGTGGTATTCTGGCCACAGGGGGCGGTGGGAGTCTGAGTGACATCCAGTAACTCTGTAATGGGACATTTTAGCACAACCTGGCTCAAGAAAATGAATTAAAAATATGAAAAATTTGCATCATTAAATTGACTTTTGCACCATAGTTTTTCGAGTTTTACCTGAAAAATATACATGGAATTGCAGGAATGGTAGAATGACTCATCACTAATCCAGTCCTCCCTCTTTAAAGTATATCTTACTTAGTTTTCCAGTCAGAACATCCCTGAATCGAACTCCCCACCAGGTGGTGATTATTAGACAACTCTACCCTATGCCTACGTCTGACAGCAAGACCAGTCATCGTCCTGGGACCCAAACCTTTATCAACAACACTTTCATTACCAACCACCACATGCTTGACATCTTCAGAGACTTGCTGTTTCGTGCATAATACCAAAAACCCCAACACCTGGAAGCTTAAACAGGGAGATGGTAAAAACCATAAATACTTGCTTAACTTCTTCTTCTTTGGTCACCAGTTTACCACGGTAGATCCTACCAGGGGCTGATGCTTTACACCAGAGGTGGGGAACACTGGTCCTCGAGGGCTGGTGTCCTAATTGTTTTAGTAGTTTCTCTTCAACAGTTCAGATTCAGCTGTTGAATAAGCAGCTCACCAAGCTCTGCAGAAGCCGGTTAATCATTTGCTGTTTATTATCAGAGTTGTTGAAGCAAGGAAACAACAAAACATGTAGGATAGCAGCCCTTGGGGGACCAGGATTCCTCACCCCTGCTTTAGACTCTACAGAGTCCTTCGTTCTGTCCTGTAAGGTACTCTCTGTTGTTTGAACTACCTGCAGAACTCTTTTGGCTTCTCTTTCTTTCTCTTGCATCACAGTTTCCAGACCAAGGGTTGATGGTAACTGCTGTAGGTCTTCCTAAAGTATAAAATCATAATCCATCAGCTGAACTTTGCAGTTGGAATGCTTTTGTGTTGTACTTATGCAAACATTTTGTAAGTCCCAAATGCTACTCTACCTTCACGCTTACAGTGGAGAAGTCAAGAGTTCGACGAGCTTTCTCCGAGCTTGTTTGGAAGCTTTCACGAAAGGGTGGTGGGGTTTCAAAAGCTGCGGATGAATGGGACGATCACACACAAACTAAAGCTCCGAGTACAACTTTAGAACTCCTCCAGTATACAAACATAATACCTACATGATTTTGGTTGTTTGGTTGGAGGATTCATTTTCACATTAAAGAGCTGTGGCTGGGGCATCACACCTGTCAGCTAAAGACAAAGTAGAGTCAGATGTGAGGATGACATCTTTGATTCGCGTTTCAAGAATCCAAACTCTCAAGTTGTACCTGGGTACCAAAGATAAAACCAGAAGCTTCATGGTTTTTGTCCACGTTTGCATCCTGTTGTAGAGCATGCTGTTGAGTTTGACTCACTGGGAGGAAAAAACAGACGTTTTATTTGAAGCTGGTTTTGGGTTAGGCTCACTGAACCAACTGTAGCAAACACACTTGATTTAAATAATGTTGGTGCTGAGGTTGGTGTGGGTTCATGATTTGATTGGGATAACAGGTTTGGAAACAGAATGCAACATTACACAGCTAATATGTAGGTAGCACAGCAGAAATGATGTCCACTCTTGTTTTGAGGCTCAAGAGCCACCGGATGTGGGACTGATACCTCTTGGACAGCTTGGGCATACTGGAGTGACCGACCCCATCACTGCTCGTGACCTTCAACAACTCCTGATTGAGGATCAGGATGCCTCATCAGCATAAAGGGGAGGAGCCAAGCATATGTAGTTGTGTATGGATCATCCACATGCTAGTGAGGCAGAGTAAACTGCTGTTTTCTCCTGATTATTGTGGGGAAATGAAATCATCCAGTTCACCAAGCAACTCAGAACAAGAGTCAATACCAACGTAAGAACACCGCATTGGTGTTAAGGCCATTTTTGGAGGTCACTACCCACATGACTGTTTAAGATATGCCTGATTGTAAAGTTAACTAATTAGGCTTTCTAATTATAAATACGCACTAATTGTTAATGCTAAAGGAAAGAATTAACTGATTAAAAGCTCCAAATCTTCAAATACATATTTCTAAAGCCTACATGATTTGCTGGGATGGTTGACTGAAGTTTGCGTGGTTGGATGACTCATCTGTGAGGTAAGCGTTGGTGACAAGGGCGTGACATCAGCCAGCTACAGGAAAACAGAAAATCAGATTTGTTAGGTCCTTGAACATCTCAGTTTTTGACTAAAAGTTAAAAAGCTAATTATACCTGTGCACCAAAGGTGGAACCTAGGCTTTTACCATTTCTGTCCAAGTTCGGCTCCATTTCCAGAGCTCGAGGTTCAATTTGGAGAGCTGTGGGAAAACTCTTAAATAATCTTGTCTCAGCCTTGTGATCTGCTAAGAATTAACTGTAGCTTACGTGGTTTAAACGCAGGCGGCATTGTGACTTGTGCAGGTGCAGAATTCATTTGGGTGATGAAGTTTGGAGACACAAGAGCTTCCTGCCGGTGAGATGACAGATAAGTGTTTACAGAAATGTAACTGGACATTTCCTGGAAGTTTTATAAACGTACCCTCTCCAGGAATGAAGGGCTCAGAACTGGTATGTTGTCCCTTTGAGAAGATTCTTCCCACTTATTCATCCAGCTGAATGTCTCACTCTCTGGAAGAAAATGTCTCATAGCCAAAAGTCCCACAGAAGATAGTAAATCACAACAGAATGGGCCGTGTAGCACTCACCAGACTTCATAGAGGTCTTAAGGATGTTGACAAAGGGGTCTTCAAGATGGATTGGAGTTGATAAGAGAGCAATTTTGGGAAGGTAAGTGAACTGTTGGCTCTGAGGGACGCTTGTGCCCTTTGGTGTGCATCCCTTCTTCCCCTGGTGAGTTCTCAGGCCTTGGTAGGTCGTCACTTTGGACCAACCACAGCAGCTGCAGATTTGGAAGCTCATGTTGGTCTAGTTGAGTATCTGAGGGAAAAGTCAGGTTGTAAAAATGTTGTTCAAACTTAAAGTTAACACCGAAACAAAAAATGCCTCCATAGGTTTGGTATTTGGGACTAACAAATGAGCAGACTAAGTGTCTGGGCCTGTCATGGGATAATATGGATATGGGCTGTTGATCAGCAGTCTCACAGAAACTTTCAGAAGACACTGAACATCTATCTAGGTGTTTAAATGTTAATTATAACCCAACAATTTCTTTATTTTTAGATGTACTGAAATGTGACACTGTTCTCTTCCAAGAGCTGTTTCATGCATCCGGATGTGTGGCGCAGGGATTTGTCTCCCTCTGCTGGTCACACAGATTATGCACAAGCTGGACAAAATGCTGTTAAAGACTCAGGGGAGTGAAATGGATTAATTGTTTGAATGAGACCTATCCTGTAAAGACAGGCTAAATAGACTGATTTAAAAAAAACGAGATAAACGTGTGTGAACAACTTCAGTTTATACAGGAGCAGGTGAAATAGTAATGAGGGTGATTGGATGCTTGTGTGGTCACATGACTCCTCCTTCTAAGATCAGCTGAGTATGTTCATGCTGATGTATGAGAGTAAACCCTGTAATGCTTCTTTTAACGCTTCATTTTTTATTTCCATCCATGCATTCATTTTCATCACTAATCTGGGGTCGGGTCACAGGGGCAGTAGCAGAGGGCCGACCAGGTTCAGATGGGAATGGCCCAATAGTCCCTCCAACGGGTCCTGGGTCTTCCTTTAGGTCTCTTCTCAGTTATTTAAAAATAGGTAGGATCAGCTAAAGTATAATCGCTGTGTCTCAATTCAGGGTCTGCATTCTTCGTCGGCCGGATTCGTCACAGTGCCGCGACTAGGCCTGTCCCAATTCTAAGACTCCTTCAAAGGTGGTCGACGAATTCGGCCTTCTTTTTGCCTGTATGAAGGATGGGTCCGATGTATCCTTCAATGGTTTACATTTCCCAAGATGCCTTGCGGGCCGGACGGTAGAACATTTAAAAACAATGGCGGACAGCGAAGTGGGAGCTGTCGGAGAGGATTGCGCATATAAATGTCAGTATAAACTTAAACTGTTAGGTTAAGGGCTTTTTGTGATACATGAACGTTATTTTAGTTAGAAATGTTACAGTAAAAGTGCTTGTATTGCGGTCTCGGCTCGTATGTTCGGCCGCTCGGTGTCGTACTTCTCCCGTTACGTTTCCCCCTGATTTTAATAGAAGTTTGTATTTTAGGGACAAAAGAGAAAACCAGGGAATTTATTAAGCTTAGGGCGAAGATGGACCACATGTTCACCGAAGCAAAGTATTCGGCGGCTGTGGCATGGAGGTACAATAACATTTCATATTTTAAAAACTCGTTTGAGTTTATTTTTTTCTGCGAAAACATGAAAGGAAGAACCCGTTGTCCTCTTTTCTCTTCCTGTTTCTTTTCTTACATGTTTGTTAAGACTATTCTGGAGAAAATGGGCATCCAGGGTAAGGTGACAGCGATGACCAGCTCCTGGAGCTGATCAGGGAGGACATGAGGCTGCAGAGGGAGGCAGAGCAGCAGAGGGCAGGAGAGAAGGGAGAACTTTGGCAGGCTTTTTACTTTGCTCCAAAGTCAAGTTTTGACCCCTGCACTTTTTACCATCCAAAAACAATATTACGCTATATTAAATTGACACTGGTTGAGCTCTAGGACCAAGCGGAAAACAACCGTTTGTGTTGAAGTATGTTTCCCATTAGAACATACTGTAAAGATACCCCCCCCCCCCACTTCTAAAGTGAAAATTACGTCCATGCTTCCTTACGGTCGTCATATTTCTAAATAAAATCCCGAATGCTGTTTCGGCTGAATCGCTCTCCTCACAAACGCATTGGATGGACTTTCCAAGTGGACTCATAAATCTGTTTCTTTAAATTAACATAAAACAAAATTGGACACAAGTGGACTTTGGTTCAATCTAAGAGAATCGTAGTTACAGTAACACACCTGTGTTTTTCATTTGTCTTATGGTTGCATGTAAAAACTTTCCATTAATATGTAACAGCTTACAGGTACACTGCTGAGAGTTCCCACAAATCTAAATAAACAAACACATCATGTATTATTAAGACATTTACAAGTTATTTAAGGCATAATGTGTCTATTTTCCTTCTGAGTGAACAAAAGCCGCATTTTGATGAATTTTTAAGATTATTAAACATGTTGTATTAAAAAAAAAAGTTAAAGACAGACACTTACTCTTTCTCACACTCGTCAGATCTCCTCCGTGTGATCAGATGGGTTTTCCTCCTCTCAGCCACGCCCTGTGCTGCTCACTGAACACCTTCAATTTCGTTTCATTAAAAACGTCTCCATAAACGCAACCTTGCTGCTGTTACTGCACGTCAGAACACGACTTGTCCATCATTTTCAATCCAATGTGGTGAAATCTAAAAAGTCATGAGGCAGAAAAACAGGACTACACCCACTTTTTTTTTTTTTTTTTTTTTGCCATCGTACTGCTTTCCTAAACCACAAATGTTGAGTAACAGTGGGTACTATTACTTGTTAGTTCCTCTTTCTTTTCCGTTTAAACAAAAGCGATTTACTCAGAATGAAAGTGCAGCAGCAAGCAAGGGCGTCAGTTTGTTTTCAGAATTGCTGGGGACAATAACCATACACTTGAGTGGGGTTTAAAAATTGCTGGGGACAATAAAGTAGGTGTCGGCGGCTCTGTAGCCGCATGCGGCTCTTCCATCCATCTGATGCAGCTCTCTGTGCTTGTAAAATAATGAATGGATATTTAAATAAAAAGCTTTATATTTTACTGCATTAATTTTACATCTGTATGCCAATTCTAAATGTAAAGATTGTCTGCGTAAACCTGAACAGGTCCAACCCGGTCTTACTGTGAGACCGGGTTGACGCGTCACGCTTGTGCGTAATCATAGGCGCTTCCTGAGCTGAAGGATGTCAGATTCTGGGCTTCTCCTCAGACAGGTTCCTGGATGCGTCGCCACATTGGAGACAGGAACAAGCACTATTCAGCCAAAGTTTCATAATCAGGTGTGACAGTGTGAGTGTCCTGTCACAGTGTCCCGATAGATAATGCGCCCTGGCTACTTGGCCAAGGGGATGTCCTTTTGGCTGACTGGTTAGAGCATATGACTCTCACCCGGTAGTCTGGGGATCAAATCCCGCCCGGGCCCTCATTTCTCCACCTTGCCTCATATTGATGGATAAACTCAAGGATGTTGGTTGTTTTGAAAGAATTACCCCGACGCACACTGATGCGCATGGATGAGCTGACATTTTAATCATTACGCACATCGCAGAGGTAACTTGATTCCCATCAGAACATCAGAGCTTTATACTGGACACTGTGTTCAGCGCGGCTCGGCGCGCCCACGGTGGACAGTGGGCTGAAGATCTGTAGAGGGATTCGCAGCGCAGCGCAGGACCACGGTGCATGCGATACGACTTCCTCTCACTGAAGCGTTCTGGAAACCCGGTCTCTCTGAGGGATGTGTCACCTGGAAAAATGTTCTTTTTATGAAATTATGAAACTTTGGCTGAACAGCGCTTGTTCCCGTCTCTAGTATGGAGACGCATGACGCATCCAGTCTGAGGCAGAATAGCCTCTTCAGCTCAGAAAGCTCCCCTAGAGACATTTGATTACGCACAAAGTTTATGTGGAGCAGAAGCGGTCGGGCCACGGCAGGTGAAATGTTCCTAGCCTACATGAAGTGAAACTGTTTAATTGTAACATTAATATGTTACTGGACATGCTGGTCTGGTTGGTTAGACCAGTGTTTGAAGTGGAAAACACACACACACACACACACACACACACACACACACACACACACACACAAACACACACACACACACACACACACACACACACACACACAAACCAATTAAAATAATGCTGATAGCGTGGACTAGAAGACAGGTGATGGTTTACGTATTTAAATGATGATCAGGCTGCTGTAAAATGTAATCTCCATCCACATCCAGACACAATTATCCTCTATTCTTTCTCTATTTGCTCTGCTCTTGTCTGGGCTGACATAGCTGACGGTGCACGCGGCGCGCCTAACTAGCGGCTGTGGTGCACATTTTACGCATTTGGAGAGATGGGCTGGATGCTTTGTTTTTACTGGAAGATGGTCCACTTAACGCACGGGTGTAGACTACATATTAATGACAAATAAATGAAAATTAAATTGGGAGTTTTTACTTCATATTTTATAAATAAAAATGACGGGGGAACACATTTATGACATCTTTTTAAACGAAATTTTCTAGCGTGACCTGCCTGCTTCACTTATGTCACTGCTTATTAAGGTCCGTCCAGAATTACCGTGGCCCACCCACAAATGAAAACCTGGCGCCGCGCCTGTTATAACCTCTGCAAATTATTGTTCTTCACGTTATCAAACTCAGACTTTGTACAGCTAATGTCAAGATGTAAAATTATGAATTCAGGCGAGCTCTTCTGTCCCTCCCTCTCCTGCTCTCCTGGAAACCCGACATTGGCTGTCAGAAGAGGGAGGTGAAGAAGAAGATGAGGCAAACCGAGTGAGTGCGACGTAAAGAAACCAGACTGGTGTGGAGGCGAGCAAAACAGCTGGAAAAGTGTGGGTGTTGAATCCCCCACGGGTGCGACGCCCATGCGAGCGACCGGTACCGGCTGCTGTCATGTTGTGAGCAGCGCTCTGCTGTCTGAGGGTAGGCCCCGCCCACAACGCTGCGGCCGCTGTGGCTCCCAGTGTTTTCTTTACTGTGGGAAATGGGTAATAATGGCTCTTTGATGGGAACAGGTTGCCGACCCCTGGTATAAGATCTGAGCTGGTAAAACAAAAATCCTCATCAGCAGGCTTCTTTGAAAGTGGGGGGGACACAGCTGCCAATCACAAATTTTGCCGGGGACATGTCCCCGGCGTCCCCGGTTAAAATGACGCCTATGGCAGCAAGAGGAAAAGAGGAACCGTAATGGTCACATGCCACTGCAGTGAGCGTGTGTTGAAGAGGTTTAGAACATTTTATATCCAGACGACCGTAGCAGTAGCAAAAAAATAAATAAAAAATCGCTCTGCAGGTTAGCTCCAATGCAGCCTTAGCAGGTCTACCACTGGCCCAAACAGTTTTTTGTATTTCAGATCACATCGCTCTGCATCTGTTAGGCGGGCTTAACAACAAAGATGTCCATGGCTCAGGAATGACACTCATTCAAAACGGCATCTAATTTGGACCATTTGGTCTTGGGTTTTTCTTTGAGTCAAGAGCAGACAGAGGCATGATTCCCATGAGCCAATGTTTAGAGAAACATATAGAAACTTGTTTAAAAAAATGTTTTACACATACATAAATGATTTGGGCTTTTAGAGTCCTTTTTTATTTGGGAATTTTTTTTTTTTTTTTTTGCCAAACCAAGCGACATCAGTAGCGGAGTCCTGTTAGCTTAAAGAGCGAACTGCAAGCTAGAGACTCCCATGAACCAGTGTTTAGAGGAACCTAATAGAAACTTGTTTGAAAATTGTTTTACACATGCATATATTATTTAGGTTTTAGAGTCATTTATGTGAAAATGTTATTTATTTTTATTTTGCAAACCAAGTGGCATTAGCTGAGGGAGTGTTGTTAACTTAATCCAGAGACAAATATGGATTCTAATGCCAGCTCTGTCACAGAGGAAACTTTAAATGTTTATGTAGCAAGATGAAATATCTGTTTTCATTTGATTGGACTGGATCAGTACAGCCTCCACATGTGAGAGGGCGCTGTGGTTATAAAAGGGAGCCTCTCCCATGTAGAAAGAAAACCCAGGAAGCAGCTAGTTTCAGAAACGCTGTGTGTTGTATTTCCAGCTTGTGTCCTCAGGCGGAGTTTTACTTCACGATTGGCTCTGCTCCGATGGTGCTTGGGCATTAGTTGTCGGCGTTGGGTGTGACATCAATTCTCACCTCGGAGTCTAGGAAGCGTTGGGAAAACGGGATATATTGAATCTCCGTTGCTGCCGGGCAGGAAGTTCCCTTCTGGCTCGAGCATTATTAGCTGGAAGATCGAGTGCCCCGTGGTTCGGCCAGCGGCACTGCTGTTTCATTTCCCTTGATCTTGTCTCGGCAAAAGTTGTTCCAAGGAAGTCCCCTGGCGCATGGCCGGCGCCCAGGAGGGGAACAACTAAACTTCTATTTTATTGCTGTTTGTAATTTGTTGTTTCCTTTGTGCAGGCTGAGGAAGGAGTGTGGTCTCGGAGGTGGCGGTCCCGTCTGCGAGTGTGTTGGTGCTGGGTCTTCCACATTGGCATGACTATGCACTTACTTTGGGTGAAGTCAGCATATTTTCTTTGGTTTGTTTTCAATTTTGTTGGGAATTCTCTGCCTCCGTGACTCCCCTGCCTCCCTCACTAACCTCAGTGAGTACTACATGTTTCAGGAGCAAATTGTTTTTAGACATTGTTCCCAAACATGAGCTATATTCTTTGCAAAAGGTGCATAGAAGTGATCAGAAGCTCCAAACAAACACCAACTTCTTTAAGATGCAGACAGACTAAAAGATAAACCTCTTTGACCAGAATGAACAAATCTACTTGAACCTTTAGTGGTTTGTTCATCATGGAGAGCTGACGGCGTGTTGCTGTTGGAGCTGTTTTGTTTACCTTCATAATAAAGTGCGTTTGGTCCCTGAGCCTGATGAGAGTTGTGGCAAGCACCACCCAGACACCAACCAGTCTGACTGCTACCTGACACCTTCTAGTAAAATTTGCCACATGTAAATATGTTCAGCTTAATGATGCCCACTGGCACCAGCACAGAGGAGGATCTATGTTGTATTCAAAAGAAAATTAATAAACGAATGTTAGCTTTCATATTAGCATTCATCAATTAAAGTGTTCTCATATACAGTTTTATGCTTTCATTTTAGAAGGTCACTAATAAACTCAACTCTCAGATCAAATTGTAATGAATATCTGCAATGAATGTAGAATTACAGTTTAATTAATGACCATAGACATTAAAGATCCATATCGAGTATGATTCCCATCTAATGGACACTGGGTTATTTAAACCAGAAGATTGGATCTTTTTATTGCAGGGATTAGATAACCGTTACATATTCACTCAGAGACAACAGAATAGAGAGAGTCAAGTTTAAAAGTTAAGAATTTTATTATTAACAAATTAAACTAGACTGACTTCAAAACTAAATGTGTAGTGTAACTAAACATGGATGAGACGGTGAATGGATGACGTGTGATGTAAATCAGAACCAGCAAATCCGAAGAAGCGATTGTTCTGACGGGAACTGAAGGTGTTGTTTTGCATTAAGCTTTGGAAAGCTTCAGAAAAACATGAGACCCCATCATGCCGGCCTACCTTGCCTTCGGTGGAAGTCCTCTGTAGATCAGGAATATCGAGGTCCAGTGAACCCTCTCTGGAACCAAGCTGGTAGGAAAAGCTGCAGTTCCGATCAAACCCGTCGAGTTACTTCCGGCACACGACACGTTTATTGGCGTCTGGTCAGACCCAAGCCTGAGTCGGTGAATGGAGCTTTCGTTCTAAAAGGAGCTGTTGACGCTGGTTGTTATAGCGACTGGATTTTTCAGCTTGTCGTTCTTTCGGTTGAAGAGCATAGATCAGGATTGGCCTCTCCATCACTTTCTCTGGAACGCTTTGAACTGACGTTAGAGATGATGTGGTGTAGTTTTATACTTCGGATGTTATGGTTTATTGTCGAATGAAAATTACCAAACACCATCAGAACCACGCCTCCGTCAGATCTGTAAGATTCTGATTGGATCAGTGAAAGTAATGTGTTATGTCTTTTTAACACTACGTGAAATGAGTCCTGTTGGAACACTTAAAGTCACAGTACTTATTATATTCTATAGGATCATAATAAAGTAATTAATATTTTGATTTCACAGATCGGTCACATCTTATTCATTGACTAACACTTTGATGGATTAGCTTTATTAAAATAGAGTTCTTTGATTAATTAAAAGAAAAGAGTTCATTCTTCAGTCTTCTGTTGAGCTGAAAATAAGCTGGTTAGAAGGAATGCATGAGTCTTCGAGACTCTCTCTCATGCAGACTAGTCCTGAGCAAAGAAGGGACAAATAAGAGTCATTCCATTCTGTTACAAAATGAACTAAATAAGAATGAAAGAATCCTACTAAATATCAACCACTTGGTAGACGCTTGAAACAAATTCAACATTCCATCTGTTGAGCACAAACTATTAGAACATGGCTGGGTTGGGTCAAATAAAAAAAAAGAGAAAAAAAAGCAGTTGAATGATTCAGCCACTGAATCAGCAGGGTGAGATATAAAACAGGCTGGATAGGGGATCTTGAGGATCAGGGCTTGGCACACCTGTGCTAGAGGATCAATCCATGCAAATGGTGCTGCTGTGTGAAGCTGAAGCCGAGGCCTTAAAGCTAAGGCTATAACTAAATCCCACTGATATACGCAGTCCTGCATCAGTGTAACCAAACTCAGCTCAGAACCACATCACAATGCTTCAGCCATGATAATCTACTGTATATGAACTCTATGAATGAGAGGCTGGGGTTAAATAGCTTGCTGCCAGCTGAAAGATGAGTCTATGTGATGTTTCTAAAGTGCAGAAAGGAAATCATTAACCAGCTTTGAGCTTTTCTTCCCTGGATGAATGACAGAAGCATGATAGAACCCAAGGTGTCTGACATTTGATCCTAAACTAAAACTAGTAAAATATTCTAGTTGCATGTGTGGTGTCCAGTCAACAAGACTTTTCCAGCTCTGTAAGATACTTCAGGGCAGCGCCTGGCATAGATACTATAGGTAGAACACTTGAGGGATAAATTGGGGGAATAAAACAACTTCTGAACTTTGATCCATGGTTGTCTTCTTCCTCTTACATCTTCTTTGGTCAGATTGCTTTGTCCTGTGGTGCCATGTCTGAAAACATCTGCGCCAGATCCTTCACCTGAAACATTTAAACAATTTAAGCAAACTGGACCTATATGTCACACCTCCATGTTTGCACTTTTACCATTATCACCCTAATTGTGCACCTGTGAAGGTGTGGGCCAGTGATATCCAATCATGGCTCTTGAGGACCACTGTTCTGCATCTTTTAGATGTTCTAATTCCTGATTCTTACCACATTTGTGAAAACTAACCAGCCAGATAACAACTAACCCTAACCTGTATCTTTTGTATAAAGATTTGCTACCTGTGAGTGTTTGAGTTTCGTTCTGAATGTCTCCTTTGGCCATGCTGCTTGTTCTTCATCCATCATGACTGAAAACATTCGGGCCAGATCTTTAACCTGAAATGTGGATAAATGTAATTCTAGTTAGCTTGCTTTAGAGCATTTTGACTGTAGATTTTATTACTGGGACATTATTGTACCTTCATGGTAGCAGTGATGGGACCAGGCACTACAGACAACAGCAACAGATATCTCATTATCTCATATTTTCAACATAAATTATTAAAACACACAGATACATACATGGTGCTAGATCCTCCTCTGCTGCTGCTGATTTCTGCAGTCAGAAACATGATTTCATATGTATCACTGAGACCTGGTTCATTACTAAACATTAATGAAAAAGTAAACTATCTACCTCACTATTTGTTTCCAGTGGTTTAACGTGATCTATTCCTTCTTTATTCATCTTCTCACTTTGTAAATATGTCTGAATTTCTTTCTTGGCCACAGGTTCAGATTTCTTTGCTTCAGCCTTAAATAAAGGTGAATTCTTCTTCCTCAGTGGGACAGCAGGCGGAGCATGTTTCCTGTTAACCTGGAGAGATGTCAGTTACATCCGTAAAGTACATTTAAAAGAAAACATGAGGTAATAAAAAATACTATCAATGGGAAACATGAAATGTGGGCTCAAGTGAGTTACCCACCAAGAAGCAGAACAACAAATCAGCCTTGCTAGAAAAGTCAGACATATGAGTTCAGGTTCAGCAAGACCGTATTTAGCTCAGTGTCTGTAACATTGACAGAGGCTGACAAGAGTTATGGCCATTTCTGTGTTTAATCTTTAACTGGCAGCCATCTTGAAAAGGTGGGTTTTGTCAGTGCAGATTAGCATTCCCCAGTATCAAAATGCCCAGTTGGACTTGTGTCCATATTCAGGGGCTGCACCCTTCCAAAGCCGTATTTAAAGGCTGATTACATCACAGCAAAGCATCGAGTCTCATTCAAAAGTAAACAATTCCTTATTTTGCCTAAGATTTAAAAATCTGTCTGGTGTATCCTTATCAACCCACCCCTATCATTGCAGACCCAATGAGCGATTTTTGTTCTTGTAACATTGCAAACCAAGCAGGAATGGGGTACAGCAATATCTGGTGGTATGTTTCATTAGAAACATTTAAACAATTTAAGCTAACTGGACCTATATATTACACCTCCATGTCTGCACTTTTACCACTATCACCCTAGTTGTGCACCTGTGAAGGTGTCCACCAGTGATATCCAATTTTCTGATTTTGGATTACATGCAAAGCTTTTTGTCTGTGACCTTTAGATTTTTGTGGAGCGGACACATTCTGCATCCAGTGATTAGCTTGTGAAAGCAGACCACAATTGGTTTGAACTGCACATGTAACAATAGGGTCAGTACTTCTGTCCTTCCAGCCAATAGGTGAAGATTATTAGAGGGGGTAACCCTTCATGTATTGGATCAGGTATGATGCCAATCAATGGTTTGACACTAATATCAGGATGCTAACAGATGTTAGCAGGAGAAAGAATCTGAAAGAAACTTTGAACGTTTTCAGTGGTATATTATGTTGGATTGTTGTAGACTGTTTTATTTGAAAACTTTTACTAAACCCTTGTGGATTAAAAAAAATCAATTTTAGTTTGAGATGGCTCTATTCCATCAATGATAAGAGGCTTCAAACTGTGAATTAGACATTATTTAGATGTGGTTTGACAAACGTTTTACAGTGTCTACAGTTACCTCTGCCAACAGTCCAAATCACATGGACAGCAGACCATGTCTATATTGAGTCGGTTGGTCCAGACAACATCTGTAGAATGTTCAAACTAGGTCTTTGCACAGTGGGATGGTTGTATCCTTGATGGGCATATGTCACTGGTGTCAGGAATTTTAGCTTATGGTACTTGTACAGCAAGTACATGAAGTGCTGGGAAAAAACACACTGACTTGACCTGGAAGTATGTAATGTCCCATCCTTGATAATCAATCACAGACATGAAAAAGATCATCAGTGAAGGGTTTGGCCTATCACATCTGATCAATACATTTGTCCAATCACCCAACCTTACTGGGCAACATGTTCTTTAGAACCCTGTTAGTGACCTGCTGGTTCAGGGCAGGTGTGTTAGAGAAGAGAAAACATCCAAACATATACTATAGTGACCCTCAAGGCCTGAACACCACGAGTAAAACCTGCAGCCGTGCTTGGCGTGGTTTGGGGCATAATGTATTGTTAAAATCCTTTATCATTTCCTGGTTCTTATAATAAAAGTCTAAACCGATAACCATTCAGCCGCTTATTTAAGTTGCAGATAAAAACACGAGACAAACCGATATAAAGTCAGGTCCTACCTTAGAACCAGAAGAGTGACCGTAGGTCTGCACAGCTTTACGTACTGCAGGAGAAAAAGCATCTTTATGGGAAACCGTTAGAAATATCAGAGTAGTTAGTGAAAACACTGACCTGGTTTGTGTTTCTTGTCTGGTTTAGCTGCAGGATCTGATCTGGTGATGACACTTGTTGAATCCGATAATGCCTGTTAGAATAAAAAAGGTGGAAAATGTTTTATGACATTTTACTACAGTGAAAAAAATTTGAATTATGAAGACATAATAGAGAAGAAATGTGATTTTTGACAAATAAAGTTTTCTGACTGTGATTTCTTTTCTTATTTTTTTACCTATTTTCCATTTTTTGCTGGTATCACTTATTTGTTAAAATGTTCAAAGTTCAACCAGGAAAGGCAGGAATGATGATGACAATTATTTTCTAAGGTCCACAGATAAAGAACACAAACACAAACACCAGTCAAAGCTGCATGTACAAAAAATCCTAACTTATGGTATCTGAAAGTGGATTTATCCTTTGTGGTCTTAGCATTAGTTGAGTTTTACTTAGGGATGTACGTAGATAACAGGTTGACTGCCGTTAATGTGATAACAGGGTAAACTAGTTTATCCCGGTTAACTGCTTCAAGTCCATTTGCTGCGCTGGGTGCAATATATTTTGTGACACTAGAAGGCGCAGGAGCACCGCTATCAAATATGTGTCATGGGTGACCACAGAAGAAGAAACTAGCTTGTCACATGACCAAACAAAGTGCCTAAACACGAAGCAGTTAGCAGAGTCAGCGTTGGAGCAGTTTATTCATGGCTTCCGATAAGAGCTGGTGAAAAAACTGTTAGTAAACGTGCATCTCTAGTTTTACTAATATAAAATTTGATGTGGTATCACACCTGGTCATTAAAAAAAGCATGTTTCCTAAAGGAAACATGTGTTACAAAAGAAACATTATTTCTGTACCTGAGTCGGTTTTTGCTCCTCCATAGGTTGGACGGCTGTTGTCTGAGGTGTGGTTAGTAAAATCCCTTCAGTTTGAACTTCATCAACCTGAAAAATATCAAGTATTAAAAAATGGCAAGGCCTTTGACCAGCTATATATATATATATATATATATATATATATATATATATATATATATATATATATATATATACATGTATGGCACTAAAAATAACAGCTACAACCAGGGGTGGAGTGGGATCAAAATTAGGCCCTGGCATTTTTACGAATCGTCAGCCCTCATTTGGCCCTCCCCATTGGGAGAGTGGGGTGTTGCCGCCCACTGACTGGTCTCTATATTGAATGTGAGATCTAATATGGACTGGGACTGTTAAATTACAAGCAGGGCCAGACTGCTGTGGCAGGGAGCCCTAGCCTTCCAGATCAGCTCATTCTTCACGGGTGGAGATCAGCGGGTAATTAGCTACATGCTAACTCAGTAAAACAACTCCTACGTCATTGCTCTACCGCGTTTTTCTTGCTAAATACACCTGGAAAAACTCTCTTAAGCTTTGGGTTACCATGTAGCTAATGTTCTGCAGATCACCACATGTGGAGTAGTGTCGGCCCAAGCTGGGCAAGCAGCCCCCTTGGCTAAGCGACCGACCGCGACAGTGCCAGAATGCCAGATAGGCCAGTCCACCCTTGGCTACCACTGAATAAGCTGTACAGGGTTGTCTGAGGTTGACATAGAAGAGTCCAACACCTGATTTAGTTCATGTTCTGGGTCTTTCTCCTTAGCTGCTGCTTCTTTCTCTGAAAACATCTGAGCCAGTTCCTTCACCTGAAACAGGTTTCAAGTTTAATCAAATGAATTATTTACTCCATACATTATCTGGTAACCTGATGTACCTTCATCCCAGTGATGAATCCAGATTTAGCAGCTCCAAACACTGAAAAGAACAGCATAAAATTTGCCTGGTAAGCCATCCTATACATGTAATTATATAATCTGGCTATGAGACATAGACAGTCCTGGGGTGGAATATATATTGTGTGTGTGTGTGTGTGTGTGTGTGTGTGTGTGTGTGTGTGTGTGTGTGTGTGTGTGTGTGTGTGTGTGTGTGTGTGTGTGTGTGTGTGTGTGTCTTCTTGTGAAGGGGACTCTGGATTTTTATCTTGAGAGGTGCTATATAGACGTTTTTTCTTCTTCTTGTCTTTCAAACTGTCAGAGTCACTAACGTTAGATATTCATAGCGACAAAAGTCAAGACATTCCACCAAATACCACTGAATAAGACAAAGCAAATACATCCTTTTTCCAAAACAGAGGACTTAAGTACCTCTATCTTCTCATGTCTCAAAGAAACGCCCAAATCTAAATATCCAAAGGTGATGCCAAATCTGACTGAAATGAGCTCTGTTTCTGAGTCAACAACAACTTTGTGGTTTTTCTCCATTGCAGATCTGATGCTAAGCCCGCCCAACATCTCTACAAACATAGAGTGCTGTGATTGGCCAGATACAATCCTAATGCAAATCCTAATGCTGTGAGACCTAAAATTGTTCCAGCCAATGGCTGACCTGTTGAGTCTACAATGGAGCGTGGCTAGACCGACCTGCAGGATGAATTCATTTGCTACTGCTATGGGTTGTCTGGATTTCTAGGCTAGCAAAAAAAAAAAGGAAAACTGAGGAAAAAAATTCTGGTTGAATCCCATGGACACCTACATGATGATAGAGTCTCCTGTTGGACTACTTCTGCTGCTGCTGAAGCTTTTGGGGTCCTCCATGCATCTGTGGCACTCTGTCATGATGAAAAATATGAAGTATGTTTAGATTGTTAGTTTCATATTGTTCAAAATCTAACTAATTAGAAACTCAGGAGACCTTTAAGAATAATTTGAACAAAGTGCAGCATTGGCTAACTTATAACAAACTTTTTAATAAATCAAAATTGTATTTTATTCCTTTCCAGAGAAATACTTTTAATTCTGCTGTAAATGGTGATCTGAACTTACTTTTTTTTGTCTCTTCACGATTACTCTCATCTGATAAAATTAAATAGGTTTGGTTGGAACCAGATTTGTCCTTTAAAACTAATATTCAAAAAATCTCACATAAAATTACACGTTAGAAAACTATATCAATTAGGGCTGTGTATTGGTGAAATTATGGCGATACGATACATATCACGATACAGGGGAGACAATACGATATATCACAATATATCGAGATACATTCAGTCAGACGATATTAGTGATATTTTAGACTGAATATATTGTAGAAAAATTCAAGAAACAGTTCAAACTGATACTTAACGTGTTAAAAATGATGTATCTGAACCATAACAGAGGGATTTACGCTTCAATGGTGGAAACAAAACCCATTGCACACTGCTGTCAACTAGTGGTTGGCATTTGAATTGCACGAAAAGAAAAGAAAATACACAATAGTTTGCAAGTAAATTTGTCCAATAATTAATACATGGCTTTTGAATATTGATATAATATTGCAGAAGAAAACATCACAATATATTGTGATATCGATATTTTTGATACACTGCTTTTGGATATCGATATAAGATCACTGGAAAAAATATCACAATAAATTGCCATATCGATATTTTCTTACATCCTAATATCAATCTACTATCAATTGTTTTGACCTCACAACAAGGAAATGCATTTTAAGTCTACTTTGTTTCCAATTTTGGATTATGCAGATAAAATTTACCAGAACCCCACGGTTACATGTCTCCAATCTCTTGATGTTATTTTCAATAGCGTGTGTCGTTTTGTTGTACGCTGTCATTTAGAACACACCACTGTCATAAGTATGAATGACTTTCATGGCTTTGTCTAAATGCCAGACGTCAATTTCATTGGTAGTTACTTATTTTTAAATGCATCTTTTTGATTTTGCGTCTTATTTGAAAATGTTGTTAGTACCCTTTAATTCTTTGCACCACACTAGGATCAATGTTCAGCTCTTTTGTAATTCCTCGTTTTAAAACAGAAGTAGGGAAACATGCCTTCTATATTACAGCTCCTCGGGACTAGAACCACAATGTTATTTATGTCTTAGACGTGTTGATTTGTTACTGTCTCTGCAATCTTGTACTTTATTTGCGTTTTTGTCAGAGGACCCACTTGAAAACGAGATGATTCATCTCAAGTGGTTTTATCCTCCTGAAATATAAGTTAATAAATAAAAATAAATAAACAATTATATTAGAAATGATAAAAACAGATGTTGTCTTTAAGATTGCAAAACATTTCATTTGATCTAATAAAAAAAACACCAGATTAAAGAAACTTGAAACTCGAGGACTGGAGTTTGACTCATGTGGAAGCAAGCCAATGAGTGGGTGTGTGCATTTAAATGAATCTGAGTTTCACATTTTCAACCAGTTTTTAAAGCTTACGACCTCTGACTACAAAGAGAGAGAGAGAGAGAAAAAAAAACAAAGATGTAAATAAACAAATACTCTGCGTTCAAAAAAAGCTTTTATAGTAAACAAGAAACCCCTGAGTTCTCACTGAAACATTCCTAAAGATGTTGTAACTCCTCAGACTTAAAATCAATCATCCTGTCAGCCTAGGGGGCTCTTCAGTTCCTCCAATTTTCCACAAAATCCCTCAACTTTTAACTTCAAAATAAAAGCAGGTAAAATCCCAGTTTTAGCAACAACAAAACAGAAAATCCATACATTTTAGATTGAAATTATTTCTAAAATAATTTCTGACAATTGCCACATTCTTAAAAGCTAACCAGCCAGATAACAACTATGACCTGCATGCTTATTTGTTCCTCCATGTTTCGTTGGGCTGTTGGCTCCTGGGTTTGGAAGGCTGAGAGCCTTTGACCAAAATGCTTCACCTGAAATCATTTAAGCATCCAAATACAATCCAATAAATCAGATTAACACAACGAACCAAAATGAGACAGCTGCATTTTTCTGTATCTTTTGTATAGAGATGTGTTACCTGTGAGTGTTTGAGTTTCTCTCTGAATGTCTCCTTTGGCCATGCTGCTTTTTCTTCATCCATCATGACTGAAAACATTCGGGCCAGATCTTTAACCTGAAATGTGAATAAATTTCATCCTAGTTAGCTTGCTTTAGAGCATTTTGACTGTAGATTTTATTACTGGGACATTATTGTACCTTCATGGTAGCAGTGATGGGACCAGGCACTACAGACAACAGCAACAGATATCTCATTATCTCATATTTTCAACATTAAGTATTAAAACACACAGATACATACATGGTGCTAGATCCTCCTCTGCTGCTGCTGATTTCTGCAGTCAGAAACATGATTTCATATGTATCACTGAGACCTGGTTCATTACTAAACATTAATGAAAAAGTAAACTATCTACCTCACTATTTGTTTCCAGTGGTTTAATGTGATCTATTCCTTCTTTATTCATCTTCTCACTTTGTAAATATGTCTGAATTTCTTTCTTGGCCATAGGTTCAGATTTCCTTGCTTCAGCCTTAAATAAAGGTGAATTCTTCTTCCTCAGTGGGACAGCAGGTGGAGCATGTTTCCTGTTAACCTGGAGAGATGTCAGTTGCATCCGTAAAGTACATTTAGAGGAAAACATGAGGTAATAAAAAATTCTCTCAATGGGAAACATGAAATGTGGGCTCAAGTGAGTTACCCACCAAGAAGCAGAACAACAAATCAGCCTTGCTAGAAAAGTCAGACATATGAGTTCAGGTTCAGCAAGACCGTATTTAGCTCAGTGTCTGTAACATTGACAGAGTTATGGCCATTTCTGTGTTTAATCTTTAACTGGCAGCCATCTTGAAATGGTGGGTTTTGTCAGTGCAGATTAGCATTCCCCAGTATCAAAATGCCCAGTTGGACTTGTGTCCACATTCAGAGGCTGCACCCTTCCAAAGCCGTATTTAAAGGCTGATTACATCACAGCAAAGCATCAAGCCTCATTCCAAGGATCAAATTGTTTTGTTTAAATTTAAATGAAAACTCTTGTGTTTCAGTTCAGAAACTACAAAGAAAACAAGAGATGAAGTTTACCTGACAGCTTTGCTCTGTTGGTCTGATGTCTTCCATGTTTTCTTTCCTCATTTCATTTATTTTCTCTGAAGGATCCTGAATTTCTTACAGCAGCTGAGGTTAAAGAGCTTTTTGCTTCTCAGTCAGTAACAGGGAGTCTGTCCCTGGTGGGACCACGGGTGGAGCTGATGGCTGCTCCCTGACCCTGACTGACCTCCTCACCTGGAAACATGTCATCAAGCTCGAGTCACACTGAGCTGTAACTTGAGTATTTGCAAGAGAGGCCCCAAAATGTCACAAAACATTCAGGAAAGTTTTGAAGGTCTCCTGGTATGAGTTTCAGCCCCACCCCACTCTTAGCGTTTCTGATAGAATAAACAAAAACTAGAAGATGCTGTAAAAGTTAATTTATTTCAGTAATTCAGCTTAGACTGAGAGACCATGTAAAGCAGTGTTTTTCAACCCTGGTCCTCAGCACCCCCCTGTACTCCATGTTTTCTATGTTGCCATTTCCAACAGCATTGTTGCTCTGCTGCCATACACCTGACCTAAATGAATGAGTGATTAACAGTCTTCTGCAGCACTTGATGCCATCCTAAGGAGGCAATGCAAATATGTGAACCAGGTGTGCTGTAGCAGAGACATGGAAAACATGCAGGACAGGGGAGCACTGAGGACCAGGGTTGAGAAACACTGATCTAAAGGCACCTTCTGCAGGTGTTTTGTATTATTTATCTGATTTGAGTGTGACACTTTTAGAGTAGAATATTGAACATTTTCAAAAATATTCCAGCTGTGTTTGGGGTTTCATAAGCTGTAAGCCATAATCATCACAATGACAAAGGCTTGACCTATCTGCCATCTGGCTGTACCGGGACGCTGGTACGATGACAATAAACATGCTGTCCGTCTGTCACATTTCACTTTACATGCAATGAGTCTGTCTCGTTGAAATAAATGAACTTTTGTTCGACATTCAAATTATTGAGTTCAACTCAAAAATCTGCCCAACATAATTTCTCCAAAGATCGTGTTGCAATCTTTCTCTCTTGATTCCACCGAGTTGAGCTGGCCTATCAAGTTTTCTAGGGGAAAACTCTGCATCACAAACTCATCTTGAACCCTTCTGAAGTCAGTTTCTAGGAGTTTAGAAATGTAAAACAACTTTGGTAAAAGTTGGCGACCAAGTTGCAGAAAGTGTCAATGGAATTTTCATGATCAACACACTTTGTGACAACTACTACAAGAATGTACTCACTATGTCTTTGCTGCTCATCATATGCCTCACACGAACCATAAGTGTTTATAAGTAAGAATGTGAGTATTTTCTCACAGTTTTGTGTCATTAACAGTCACAGCCAAGTGATTCAGAGTTTAGGATTCTGTTTTTGTTTTGTTTTGTTTTTTTAACCCTCTGGAGGCAGGCGTTGCAGATTTGCAACAGTTAAAACCTACCTACCAGGTTACTCCACATACGCATTTCATGAGCATTTTTTAACTCAGAAGTACTCCTGAAGGACTTAGTTGTTCGTCATTTTATGAAAACGTATTTTGAGCCTGAGAGGGTTAACTACAAGGTCTAATAACACAGCAGAACAATGAAAGGTTGGTCAAGTTGATCTACCAGATTACACACTAAATGAAAATGGATTTCAATACCAGCTGTTAAACAGTTACCTGTTGATCATACTGGTGTTTCTCCTTAGGTCGCACAACTGGGTCTGGTTTTGGATTTTCTGGATGCTCTTTGATCCAGCCAGTCACCTAAACGTGTTATGAAATATCACTTGCATTAGTATAAATCATATGAAAATGACCAGAGTGTTGAAGAAAGACGAGGCAGGTCATAAACACTGGAGTACAAACCAAACCTGTGGGGGTATCAGATTCCTGGATTCTCTCTGCTTCGGTTGGACTGATGATGTCACCCAAGGATCACTGCTGTAAAATCCTGTCACCTGAAACAAAAAAGGCAGAAAAAAAGTTTCCAAACACTCAGGTGTTATTTTTAAGTGAAAGAAGTTCAGGTAATCTGCTCTACCTGCACATCAGGGGAGATTTTTTGAGAGCTGCTCTTTGTGGAAACTTCTGGAGTTGCTGTAAATAATAAAAAAGAAATACTCATTTATTATTGTCAATCAAAGCTTTTGAATAAAAACTTGTGAATAGGCTGTTTTTCCTACATGATATGGGCTCTTTCTTGATTCTAACAACTGCTGATTGCAGGGGTGTGTCCAGGGAGTGGCCTGGGGTAGCACATGCCACCCTTAGAATCTGATTGGCCACTCCAGGTGCCACCGTACTAAGTTCCAGTTTAAATTGACTTTACATTGTCGACAAAAGGCTTGAGTTGTAAACTCCAAAAATAGTGTGTGGTAGCAAGTACCTTTAACATTGTCTTCTAGCCCAGGCCTACAGAACATTTCTGTAGTATTAATATTATTTATTATTTTTTCATATTCACATAAATAGTATTGAGTCCCACTCAACTCCAGTTGGTGGCAATAATGCAACAAGAAGTGACTTGCTAACCACCACAAAACTAGAAGATGAATAGAAAAAAATGGTGATTGTGCAATGGGAAACTCCAAAATTCACTAGAAAGTAAATAAATAAACGAATTGTGTAAATAAATAAATGAGCATAACCATTGGTGCCACCCATGCATAAACAAGTGCCCCACATGGGCCACCCCATTTTCAAAGTCCTGGACACGGCTCTGGCTGATGGGTAAGTATTACAGCTGTCTGTATTGTAGTTCTTCATTCCTCCACTGTAAGAGTTTTGAAGGCAAACCAAAACTTTATATGAATTTACAAAAACATAGATTTAGGGCTGGGATTCTTTGAAGGAATGCTCATCACTAAGATCATCTTGTGTTGCAAATTCATAAATGTATACTTGTTTAGGACAAATACTGAAAATGATGCTAATACTTGATCTGTAACACTATTAGCACATTAAACATGAAGGTGTGGTTTACTGAAAGAAAAAACATTATTTATTTATCACTTCTGATCATGATCAGTCACTCAGAGTTTTTCTGCAGGCTGAACATGAAAATAGTCTCCTACACGTATCTCCTGCATTAGGTTCTGATAAAAAATAGACGGTGAAGCTCTAGGATTTGAAAATCCTGACAGATCTACGTCACGCTGTCACTCGTTAACTCACCTATCTTGGCTCGCGATGGGGAAGGCTGTTGTTGGTTTAGCATGCAGGAATCAGCAGAGAACGTCTCGGCAAGTAGAAGCTAGCGTTAGCATTAGCAACTCCACCAAATGGCAGAACTTCTTCAGGCTGTAGTTATTTGTGGGGATGGTACATTACCTGAGTTTGTATAGTGCTTTCTTAGAGTTCTATAACCCCCCAAGGCCCTTCACAACACAATCAGTCATTCACTCATTCACACGCTGGTGATGACGAGCTACAATGTAGCCACAGCTGCCGTGGGGCACGCTGACAGAAGCGAGGCCTGCCTAACACTGGTGCCACCGGTCTGTCCAAACACCACCAGCAGGCAAGGTGGGTGAAGTGTCTTCCTGGACAACCGGCTCTACCTCCTTACCCACTGCTGTCCCTAAATAAAACATTAACGTTAAAAGCAAACTGAGTCAGTGATAGAGTCACGTTGCCGTTAGCCAATCAGGGGTGAGATGTCCAAATATCAGGAAATAAGTCTCCAAAATCTTGCAGTCTAAAGCTCAACTGTGATCTGGCTCACTTCCTGAAACTGCTGCACCAAGGCTTTATTTCTCCAGAGCATGACCTATTAGGCATCCATTCCTACTAGAGACCACTGATTAAACAAGTGAACCAAGCCTTTAAGCTCAAAAGCCATCGCATTAACTGGTTTATAAACGCTTTTGTTTATTTCTGTAGTTGGTTTACTGTAGTGGCTTTCTTGAACTGTTGACTCAAAAGGTAAATCACTTATAGATGATCATTCTGTTTGTTTTCTGAAACATTGAGAGGTATTAGACCAATATCCAGACTTAGACAATCATCTTAAGACTCTTTTTACACAGCAGGATGATTTAGCTGATTTTTGACCCAATCTTAAGGACAAACCTGATTGCCAAAAGATAATCTTATGACATTTTCCTGCCATGTGTGGTGTGTTAAGAGTTCTCTGCTCTGTTTGGAAGCACGTTGGGATCATGCCGATTACAAATCAGGGACATTAAATCTATTGGACTCTCTTGGCCCAACTGAGGACAAACAAATGTGATGCCTGTTAAAGGTGACATTCAGCCATTTAGAAAGTGAGATGATGGAAGCACAGTGCAACCTCCTCCTCTGCCATGTTTGTTTACACTAGACATGTTTGATCTAGAAATGCTCTGCAAGATAATCCTGTGTGATTCTTGAGTGTGTTGTCTTTGCCATGTTGCTGGACTCCACGTGCTGCAGGACCTAAACTGTTATATCCATATTTTTTTATCATCACATGTGAAGTCTTTCATGTTTGTTTTTAAATCTTCAAACAAGTTACACTATGAATTATCCAACTGATGACAGAGCTAAGTGGCATCAAACGGTGTGTAGAAGAAGAAGCTGGAGCCCTCTGGTCAGTCAGATAGTTTAGAGGTGCAAGTAAATCTACGTTTCAGCACACAAAGTGTCTTCAGCAAGGCCAAGTGAAGACACAAGGTGTGTTGAAACCTATGTCCACTTGCACCACTAAACTATTTGACTGAACAGAGTGCTGCAGCCTCTTCTTCTACACACACCTTTTACATCTTGGCAAGTGAAGTGGGCCTAAGTAAACCCTTAGGTACCTGTGGGAATATCTGACTCTCTGTTTTCTTCTTAACTCGGACTGTGTTTATGTTTACTGCTGTCAACTCCCTGATTGGTCCGTTCACCTGAAATACATGAATTTGTTCTAAATCATGAATTTTCATGCTGCCTGATTGTCAGATCCATTCATGTTTATGTCTCAGCTTCACCTGTGTAAGGGTGAAGACCTTCTCCAGCCGATGTCCTGTGGTTGCAGAGGCTGTAATAAAGACGTACAGCATAACCAGATTACTGTGAACACTCATGTTGTGACTGATTACCATCATACGTACATGAACCATACTCCTGCTTAACTCAATTCAAATTCAGATACTTTATCAATCCCAGAGGGAAATAAGAGTTTCAGTACACACAATTCTGAGGTCAGACATACATAGATAGACACATGACAAGAATTGGTGACTGTGGTCATTCGCAGGGCAGCTTTGCTATGCAAAAAAACACCTCAGGCAGAAATGCAACAGACTTCAGACATTACACAACATAAGTGTCCACTAGTTGGGGCGGTAGGGTTGGGGACTCTCCACACATCAGTGCATGCAGCCACGATAAGTAGCGCTCGTCACCTCCGTTTGGACAGGGGAAGGAGTTTGTTGGGTCTTAGAGAGCACAGTGAGTCCTGGAATGATTCAACGGCCTTCACCAGTCGCAGTCCCGCCCAGGCTGGTAAAGGGAGACAGAGTTGCCATGGCGACGGCAGCATTCCACATTTCTTCTGAGGGGGAGTAATCGCTTCAGCCTCACAGGCTCAAGGGCACCAGATTCAGATAAGAACTTGTTTTGGGGCCAGACAGAGATAATTTCCTCTCTGTCTTAAAGTTCCGTTGGTCCTCAACCCCTCTAGATCCAATAATGGCGTAATTAATCTATCCCAATCTGTGCTGACCCGTCAACTTGCTCCTTGATCGAATCCACCTTCTGTGCCAGAGCCTGAATCTCAGCCAAAGTTCCGAGCTTACAACTCATCTCGACGATTGTATGAGTTTGTGCATTCACAGCGCCGTGTAATCCATTCCTGAGCTCTGGGATTGAGCCAATATTCCTCGAAAGCTCATTAATTTTCGGTAAGCCAGGTAACCACTCAGGCCAAAAAGCAGGAAACCTGACACCAACACCACGAATATCCAGACATCTTCAGAATCCTCCACAGACAGTTGAGAGAGGCAGATCAGGTTCCACTGTTTCCAGGAGTCCATGATATACCCAGCTGGCTCTGTCCCAGAGGGTCATCCGGGAGCCCCTTCTCCTGTTCTCATCAGTGAAAAAATTTTGTCAATCGCGTTGAGAGACCAACTGACCAGGTCCATTTTTAATAATTTCCAGTTTCCAGAAAAAATGCAGAAGTGCCGTCCACCCAAAGACAGACAAAGAGCCTTGGGATAAGATAGGGAGGAGCATCTGTACTCTCCAAGAGTTGGAAAAAGAAGAAAAGTACACCTTAAGCTGGATGTCCGCACCTCTGTTAGGATGGTAGCTGCTGTAGGGTTGATGGATCTGCCCTTATGTGGTGGTTCTAGGAAACTCTGTCAGGTTTTCAAATAAAGTTGAAAGTAGGGTTTACTTTACTTAAACTCTGATCCTACACCTCTATTAGGGATGGGTACCTTTGACATTTGAATCGATCCAGTACTAATTCCCGGTACCTACGAATCGATACCGTACTTAACGGTACCAATTTTCGATACTTTTGAGTGTTTATTTTAATTCTCTTTTATAATTAAATATATATTTTTCAATATATAACATTATTTGATAAATATCACGATAAATAACATTCAACTGTTTGTATTTTAACATCGTCCTTGTAGTTTTATAAGCTGATAATTAAACTGAAGCAAACATCTTTACTGTGAACTAAATTTACTGTGTATCTTCATTCCTTTTGCCGTCTTTTTTCATTTGATTTTTCCTACTGGGAAGTTAGAATTTCCGAGGAGAAAGCGAACGCACCATTAGCTGATAACAACAGTGGCAATGGAAGCTAACATATCAAGCTAACGTTATCTTAAATAGTTTATTTAACTGCTGGAGCAGATTAAAACGATGATGCCTCACACTTAGATCGTTGTCGCTGGTTTTATCTTCACCCAATCACCCGTCGCATTTAGTAAAGTGAAGCCAAACTTTAGAGCACGTTCATGTTCATCTAGTCGGAAATTCGGAGTTCCGAGGAGAAAGCGATCGCACCATTAGCGAAACGGAAGCTAACATATCAAGGTAACGTTATCTTAAACATTTTATTTACCTACTGGAGCAGATTAAGATGAGGATGTCTCACTTAGATCGTTGTCTGTCGCTGGTTTCATCATCACCCAGTTACCCATCACATTTAGTGAAGTGGACCCAAGCTTTAGCGTGCATTCTTTCTATCATGCTGCTCTGTTTACCACTTGCTCGCAGGGACCGACGACATAATGCTCTTGCGCATGTGCAGCTGTCTTAGTTGGCAAGTTCTCGTTATGAAGGATGGGTACCGAAACGAGGCACCGTTTGAAATGACGTGAATCGGTGCTCGGTCGGTACTATGGAATTCGGTCGGTACCTTAAAAAGTACCGAATTCGGTATCTTATACCTCTTGCTTTTTAATGGCTCTCTTTGCTGAAGGACGTTTTCCATGATCCCCTTCCTGTTTCCAGATATTTTTCCAGTAATCTTGCTCTGTCTCAGGGATCCTCATACCATTTGGTGTGCAGCCATTCCTCCATTGGTGAATTCTCAATCCCATATAAGTCGTAATCTTGGTCCAGCCACAGTGGCAGACCTGTGGGCTCAGGTCTGAATAGTGGTCTGCACTTGCTGTTCAAGAAATAAGTCCAGAATCAAGTCAACATTTGGACCACAGCTGGTTGGCTTCCTTGTATAACATAACATAAAATTATTTTATTATTGGAAAACATGAATTTTAAGTAACTTGATTTGAAAAGCCCACCTGCCCTAACAGAGGTGCAGACATCCATCTTAAGGTCTATTTGAACATCTGTTTGCTTCACAATCCCCCGAAGACACTTCTGCTCAGGTTCTGCAACTCTCACACCAGTTGGTGTGCATCCCATCCTCCCCTGGTGTATCCTCAGGCCCTGGTAGGAGGTCACTTTGGACCAACCGCAGCAGTAACACGTCAGGAAGCTCATGTCCGCTGTTTGTAGAATAGGTGTCACCAAACTCCACCAATGATGTTCCAGATGAAGCTGCAGCTCATCTAAGAACTGATGAGCTCTTTGTAGAGGGCTCGGTGTACTTCAGGACTTAAGAGCCTCATTCAAACTGTTTCTATGACCATTCATTGCTTTTTCACTCATTTTGAGTCCAGTTTGACATCCTGAGTGGTTTAAACATTCAAATTAATGTGCATTTTGGGGTGGGGGGTGGGTTTAATAATGGGAACTTAATTTTTTCTAAAAAACAAGTAATAAAACAAAATTATTTTATCTTGCTGAATTAAACTTTTTGCTTTATTCTCAATTTTCCATCAGAAAGTTGTCCAGTAACCTAACATTTCTTTATAAATGCTGTTTTTATGACTCAAATACAACAAAAACCTTTCCATTGACTCTAAACCACGCAGATTCTGGTCAGGATGCCTGCTTAACTTTGTTAGCTCGTTAATATCATTACCTTTCTGTCTCCGCCAGTGATGCTTCTGCTGCAACAATAAACCTGTTCTTCTGATGTCTAATTACCGGTCTTGTGATTTCAGTTTCATTTCTGGTGAAAAACCTGAACAGAAATCCACCATCTGCGTCTCTGATCATCCCCTCTGCAACTGTATGGCAAGCCAGTTGGGCATTTATCCTAAATCGAACGATTAAGAAAGAAAGTCATAATGTCTTTGTCAAAGCAACAATTTTTTATCATTTGTAAAAATAAAAAAAAAAAGGACAAAACTAAACTTTTGAGACAATCCACTTAAATGTCATTTGAAGTTCACAGATATGAGTGACACCTCAAAGATGTTGTTGCATAGGAGAGTAGAACATGCGTAGATAAGAAGCATTTTCATATTTTACATTTGCATGTTGGTCAGGTTTCTATGTAAATTCAAAATTCTAACACCCCAACTTAATACCTGAAATGTCAAAAGTTACATTTGTTTTACAAAAGGAACAATCTATTGGCTAATTTTAATCTAACAACAATATAGTCAAATTATACAACATAAAGGTAAGAAATATAAATGGCCTTTGCCACATCTAAATCCTGAAGGGCAGTAGGCATGTTTAGGTCTGCTTATAGCGGGTTGACGATGAATATACTAATCCTAATATTCCCAATTACCCATGGGGGTAAGTTGCCCTATACACCCCTTTACTCAAGCCAAACAGAAATACAGAGCAGTTAGTTCCATACTCAGTCAGTTTTGGTCTCAAATCTAATTACCAAAGGTTCAACGTTTCCATCTTCTTGCATCATGTGTGGGCTGAAGTAGGGGTAAAGACCATCACTGAACAAACAGTCTTTGAAGGTGTAGATGTGAGACTGGGCTGTTACATCGTAGAAGGAGACAACGCTTTTCTCATAGTCCACAAACACTCCTACCCTCATTGGTTTATTGTTTATGGAGAGACGAGTGGGTGGAGATGACATGGCTGCATAGATCTCTCCTTCATAATGTACCAAGATCCAGTAGCCATTATCTGGGCTCAGTGTGAGTCCACCCTTGCGGTTAGCACCACCTTTGGCCACGCCCAGATCCCACCCGGGCTTGTTTGAGACCTCCACTTCCCAGTAGGACCTCTGATTGCTCAAGTTGTTTATTCCCAGAACACTGCCAAACAGGTCAAACCTCTCAGGAGTGTCAGTAACTTCCTGGTCCTGTCCTCCATCTTTCACCTCCTTACCATCATCTGAGAGGACTAGGCGTTGGTGTGCCGTGTTTGGATCCAGCTTCACATCAGCTGTTAAAACCAAATCAAAAATAGTGAGTTAAGCCTAGTTTGTACTTCTCCATCTGCAGCGGTACAGAGACACTCAACACTATGATGCGTCTGTCTCACAGGGGGTGATGGGAGACATGCCACTTTTTTTTTTTTACAGTCAGTCCAAAGCTACAGAGGGCAAGCCTGTGATTGGTTAGCACGTCACAAAACAAACGTGTGCGTATACTTCTGCCATTTGTTAGCGTCTTAAAGTGGGATATGATGGTGGGTGCGTCCTGTGTCCCGTACTCCGACTCCAAGAAGGAGCCAGCTCTGATCGGTCACATCATAGAGTCGGCTAGAAGGAGCACAAAGATATGCAGAAGGCTTAATGCGTGGAAGGAAATTACGGGAAACATGGTTTGGGAGGTGGCAACTGCATGAAGAGGCGGAGGAGAATAAAGGTGTTGCTGTTGATCACCGGTGTTGGTGATGTCACTTCCTTTTATTTGCGGCAGCAGAGGATGATACTAGCTGAAACATGTCAGGTTAAAAAAAACAATTTTTGACTAACGGTCTAAAAAAAAAAAGAACAAGAAAACAGATAAGTCAGATAGGAACGTGTGTAGTTGCAACTGAGCTGACAGAGATGATTAAACTAGTTAAAAGGACCTGTATAAGGTGCAAGAATAGGCACATGTATGATTAAATTACACTGCTGCCGTTACTGAGGTGTCGTTATTTTACTAAATATAAGTTCTTTTAGTGAGCCTTTCCTTTCAACCCAGATATAAGGAACTTGTATTCTATGAAATTCCGCCTCTACCTGTGTGAGTTCCACCTATTTCATAATGTAGCCCTAGATCATTCAGCAAAGCAGCTTTTGCCAGATTCCAGCAGTGGTGAACCGCCCATGAGCACCAGGACACTTGCCAGTGGCAATTGCCGAGGTCTGCCTGAAACCAAAAACAGCCTTGGGGTTTCTTTCATGAGGAAGTAACTATATAACAGGGTGTGAGGGACCGTGATAGTTAGCCGAAGGTAAGGCCATCACACAGGCCCAATGATACCTGATATACTTAAACATCTTTTTTTAGAGGCAATGTTAGGAAGAAGTAAAACACGACATACCTCTAAACTTTGGGACTCTTCTAAGTTCTGCAAAGAGAAGAGCTTTTCATTAATTAGGTCTACATATTCTGCTTGTTTGCCTTGAAGTTAACTCTTACCTATGGTTGTCAGCTTCTCCACTTCCTGTTGAATTTCTTCAACCAATGTAATGATTGTATCTCTCATGGTGCCAAAAGACAGAGATGTGTCGAGTTCCACATTCGTCCAGTCTCTCATTTCATTTTGAATTGAAAGTGAAGGGTATTTCTGAAAACCAGGAGGACAATGGTGATTAACTAACAGATTTACAACGACACTGCCTCTCTAGACCATGTAGATGAATGTATTTTCTTGTATACAGCATCTCTTTAAGCTTTGCAGATGCTAAACATTTCATCCCACCTGCAGGAAAAGGATGTGATCCTCTAGTACAGATATGTTGTCCAGCTCAGAGACTGTAGCGCTTAGCTCGAGGATTTCAGTGTCCAGCTTTTCTTTAAGGTCATCTGCTTCTTGTTCCAGTAACAGCTTCCTCTCATCTAGCGGTCTCAGCAGTGTAGCTAGAGCTGCGTCCAGAATGGCAGTAACAGCTGTGAACACAGCGTCAATGTCCCACCACTCATCCTCAATCTCCCGCTGAAAATGGGTTAAAAGTTGTTAGTTTACCATTTCTGCCCATTTCTTTAACAGATTTTAGTTATAAAAAACAATCAAAATAATGTATTATTGAAAGCTTGAATGGGTTAATAATCCTGGTAGTTGTGTTGGGATTGAGTGCACAGTCTTTAGTCAAGGCTGGTCCAACTGGATCAGACCTGCTTTACTAACTCACTCCTTACCTGGCAGCTTTTGAGAGCGTTCTTGATCTCATCTATCTTAGTTTTCCGTGTCTGGATTTTCTGTTGCAACTCCATCTTGGTGTTACCAAGCTGTGTCTAAAGAAGACAAAAACCAAATGTTCAAGCATTCTCCGCTCTTGCAACATTTCATTATACCTTTGCACTCTTTTAAGTCCATTTTTTTCCACACTGAGCATTTTTGATGACAAACCAGGAAATCCCAGCACCTTTTTCCTGTTACATTCCTCCTCAGCAGATATGACCTCGTCCTGACCTTCTCTTAAACACTGGACACAGATGCACTTCTGCCGAGTCCTGCTGTACAGCTCGAGTGCACGTCCGTGCTCCAGACACGCTCTTCTGTCCAACATCTCCACAGGTTCCACCAACTTGTGACCCTTCAGCCGGCTCAGTGACTTGTGATTCTCCAAGTGGGTTTCACAGAATGAGGTCAAACACATGAGGCAGGACTTCTTAGCCCTCAGCTTTGGATTGATGCAGGTGTCACACAGCACTTCACCCACTGCCCCAGAGGACCTTTGGCCTTTTGTCACTTTGATCTGTTGGATAACCTCTCGGAGCACAATATTCACTTCTGGGATTTTGCTGAAATATTTTTTGCAAAGTGGACACATCTGGTCTGAATACAGCATGCTGAGGTCCAGGCACTTTTTGCAGAAGGTGTGACCACATGATGTGGTGACAGGATTGGTGAATGTCTCCATGCAGATGGAGCAGAGCAGATGCTTCTCCACGAGGGAGTCACTGAGTGGTGGCAAGGCAGCGGCCATGTCTGCACAGAGAGAACAAGATGGTGGAAGCATCACGGGTAAGTAGAACTCTTTTCCTTTTGGGAATTTTATGTAGATGATGGAGTACTTAAATAATTTTGCTGCTGTGAGCAGCTGTGGAAATCTCTTTTAAGGGGTGATCACACCTGCTGCCAGAGACGTACCTGAACAAGTTCACGGAACAATCGTTCACGAATGAGTTTCTATGCTTGTGAGCCTGTACTTAATTCACCGTTTACGATGGAGCAAATGTCATGGCTTAAAGCATCCTGTTAACCATAGACATTATACAGAGTAGACACCGCAAATGCGGCCTGTCACGTTTAGGAGCAGGAGGTTAGGACCCAAGATGCAGATACGAGGTAGGAGTTGACATAAAGAAAATCCTTTTATTGTAGGATGAGTCCAAAAAATAGAAATAAATCCAAAAGGCAGGGAGCCAAAATCCAAAAATCAGGAAACCAACAGGAGATCCAAAAACACCAGGGGACCGGGCAGACTGACAGAACAAATGGACCGACAAGGCACAGAGACAAGACAGGGCTTACATACAATGGGGCATAAAGGGAGGCAGATGAGCTGCAGGTGTGTGGAGTGTGGGGAGAGGACCAGGTGAAAGCAATGACTAATCAGGGAAGAAACTAACATGACCTAAGAGTGAACCTAAAAACAGAAAAGCAACCATATAACTCAAATCCTAAAGGGAAGGTGAACTACAAAGACCGGTGGGACAAAACATATTAAAGAGACTAATAAAAATGAAAAGCTGAAATAATAAACACTGCAGAGGGGTGACTGGAGAAGACTAAAGGAACACAGGAGACACATAAATGAGATGCAGACAAAGGACACATGAGGGCGCTATGAAACACAAAAGGAGAACCTGGAGTGGGAAACTGGAGGGGCACAGAACATGACAGCGGCCGCCATAGGCAGTAGTGGTTGATAAAGCGTAGGGCTGGGAAATAAAACGATAACGATATATATCGACACAACTTTTACTCAATAAACGTGATGTCATCAAACCAGACACGGAGAAAAACAGAAGGAAAATGGCTGTAAATTCTGCGAACTTCAAATCTTTCCTTCAGGAGGAAAGAACCACCATATATCAGGTCATGTGGTAAGTAGCAGCTACGCTAGGGGACAGGAGATTCTGTGGTGATGTCATATATGCGATGTACTGATGTATTTGTAGTCATGCTAATCACGAACTTTTACAAGCTGATAAATATCAAAGTACGTGACTGGCGTGGTCGAAACACCTATCATTACTTTTCATTGAAATTACAGTTCAACATGTGTGTGATCCAGGGTGTAAGGCAAAGCGGACTAGAAAATAACGTTTTTAGCCCCGTTGACTTCCATTCATGTTTTCGTTCTTCCGGGAACCCGTGACTCGTGAGCCGACCAGAAAAGGAGGAGCAAAAGTTTTAACAGTTTTCTATGGATTTCTGAATCTTTTCATTTAAAAATCTGCCATTTGTGAGAAACACGACAGAGTCGATAACAAATAATCAAGTAAACTAAGATGTTGACTCAATCTTTCTTTTAAATCCCCCCAAACAAACTGAAAACACTAAAATACTTCAGGACTTTGGGAATGAAATGCCACTCCATCTGGGTAATACGCCCTGGAGCATGCAGTGTTTCATCAGAACTACAGATCCTAGTCAAAACTTTTGTTTTCAGACAAAAGCAGATTAAATATGTTAGCATTAAACACACACTATGGAACAAGACCACAAATAAACACTAGGAGCAAAAAAAAAAAAAAAGATACATTTTAAATATGATGGTAGAATTTCCTTTAAAACACTAAAGAAAAAACATCAAAGTGGTGTTTTCAGTGTGAAACGTCACCTTCAGGTTATCAGGATGTTCTCCGTTTTACAGGCGTCCTTACGACTCTCTACTCCAGCTAGGATACGTGCATGCACTTCCCTGGATTTCCTCCTCTCTGTGTTAAGTTTCATTTCTGCTCATAAATCCGAAAGTCCAGGCACCTCCTTTATTCAAAGAGGAAGGCTGGAACTCAGCCCAGCAAACATCACGCTGCAGGCCGGGTTTCATGTTGAACAACCGATCAAGTAAAGACAAGAGGGTTTTACGTAATGCAACATTTAGTGTTCTGAACTGAACTGGAAGCTTGACTGGCCGGTGAGCTCAGTTTGAAACAAACAAGAGGGAACATGTATAAAAACCTTTTATTTAACAGTGTTTTCATCCGTGCAAATATAAATTACATTCAAACAGTTTTATCTTTTTCACACGTCCTGAGCCTGACCATTATTATTACTGAGGCTTTTAGATGCTGCACCTATACATTTGGACATATTTGGAATGACAAGAAAACATAACGAAACACACACCTCTGTTAAATAAATCTTTCACATTTAAAAAATATAATTTATTTTTATGTAAACAGACAAATTAAACATATTATAACTTTTTTTTAACTAAAGGCTAAAAGTTAGCTTAGAACCCTGATACCTGAGAAACAAACTCCAACTGTGGTCCTCAAATCTGCATGAAGCTGTTTTATAATGCCTCCCTCTAGTGGTCACAGCAGCTACTGCATGTAAAATGGCAACATTTGAAAAGTGACATAAAACATTATAGCCCTGTTCTAAATAATTATTTATAATTCACTAGCATCAGATACAAGTTTTTTTGTAATAACACCCATCTTGTTTTTTTATTTTAACATATAAACAAACTGACTTTATTATTACGACGTACCTTTGTTGCGTTATCAGATTAACGCTGTGTGTGCTTTAGAATTAACCCTGTAAGCAGTTTATAGCTGCAATTCACTATACGAAAGGAAAATCATCTCCTCATCTGCAGTCCTGTCCCACCAGAAGCCAAATAAGTCATATTCCCATTATTTCCCTTCTTCTAAGGCTCTTTAACATGAAAGATCTTTTGCACGTTCATTCTGTGTAATCTGTGCACTTTCATTGCTTGCTTTGAGGAAGATTGCAGCGTTAGCTGAAACTCGTCAGTTTAAAAGGTAAAAACAAATCTTTACTACGCCGTGCTTAGAAAAGAACCGAGCAATGGAGCACGAGTCCAGAGCAGAGGGGAAACTCAGCTTGTGCTCATGTTCAGTGGACTCATGATGTTCTCTCATGCTTGTCAAAGCATGAGAGAACATTCTTAGATTTAGATGTAGTGACGAGGAAGAGTAAAAAACCCAAATGAAGCCATGGTGTACCATTGTTAGTACCCAGAGAGATGTGGAACAGTGATCAGCATCTGCAAGAAGGCTGCCTCCGCACTTATGTGGAGTCAAAGCAGTGCGAAGAGCTAATTACAGTAGAATTCTGAGTAATTATTGCTTTTTTAGATGCTGAAAATGATCATTTTCACATGACCTCGCTGTAATAAAAACACAGCAAAGCTTTTTCTGTGCATTTCAGCTAATATTTGTGAAAAAGGAAGATTTCTGCAGATGCTTGTGACAACTCTGGTTATTTGCTTCTAACTATGAGGTAGGAGTGTAGAAATCTCCCAGGAAACTAGAGGAAAATGAGTTTTCTGCTACAAAGGCCTAAATAAAGCTTTGAAACATTCCTGCAAACAGTCAATGTCTATATTGAGTCTGTCGGTCCAGACCACGTCTGTAGCATGTCCACACTAGGTCTTTGCACAGTGGGACTGTTCAGCTGGCCTGCTGACTCTCACTAACAGTGGAGACCTGTATGAAACGCAGGTGGTCTTCACTCTGCAGGAGCTGCTCCAGCTCCTGGTTTTTCTCCTGCAGCTCACAGATTTCCTCCTCCAGCCGCCCGATGAGCTTGTTGTTTTGGGTCTGAGCCGCTGGTGGAGTTTCTCCTCCGAGGTCGTCAGAAAGCTTCAGCTCAGCAACTTGACTCTGCCTGTCGTGGATTTGTTGCTGGACTTTGCTCCGCCTGCGCCTCAGTATGCTCTGTGGAGAACATACAGCAGAAGGACACGGATGTATGAAAGGTGTTGCAATGCTGGCTTCCTTCCTGTCAACGAGGCAGTTTGTGTCTTTTATAACAACATGAACCATCTGGGACCTTTGAGCCACGGTCATAAACGTTTCACCCCCTCTACAGAATGGAGTTTAAGTTCAATAACGTGATCACTGCATGATAATGTCTAACTGCACCGAGTCGCTGCCAAGTCACTGGTTTATTATATCTGTGTTAACAAGTAACAGGTTTCCAAAGCCCATTTGTCATTCGTCTTGATTTGTTTGCCTTTATCCTCCGTTTATTCACACTTTGGTTTCCAACACCTTTCAAAGTTGTCTCGACATTTCTGACACTTTCTGAAGAGCAGACTCTAAATCGACGGAGTTCCAGAGACGACTCTGCAACTCTTTTGCAATTTTTTTTAAACTTTGGTTAAAATTCCAAAAGAGCAAGGCGCTGTAACTCCTGTGAGTCCTTAGCAAAGACACACTTACAGTTACAGAACATGCAAAAAAAAAAAGGGGGCGGGGCTAGATCAGTGGAACTCAAATCCAGTCCCCAATGCCGTGGTCCTGCATGTTCCAGATGTTTCTCTGCTTCCATAGCTTATCCTAATAAATACGATGCTGACTGGTTTCTGCAGACATTGACAGGCTGAGGAGACTCTAGGCCTGTTTCCACTGTTGGAGCTTCTGGGTCATTTTTCTGGGGCATTTCCGGTAAGCACCACTTGTCTCCGTTTCACCAGGCTGTTTCAGGAACCATCGGGTACCTGCCTGGGGGTGTGTACTCAGAAATACCCTGGTGAAGCCGAGGGGTGGGCGTTCTGGCTAGCTCATGCTGATTGGTTGTATCTCAGCAGAAAACTGACGTTTGCAGGTGTGGCCAAACAAACAACATTTGTAGATTTGGGAGGAGTTGCTGGTGAAGCAGAATGGGAAAAAAAAGAAAATATGAAGCATTCATAGCTTTAAATATCAGTGTTTCTAAGCTCCCAACGATGAAAACTGTCAGAATTTTGTCCACAACACCATCATTTATGCTTCTGTGTGTTCTCCTACAGAGCTGCGTGGAAAATATTCTCCTGATCATCAAATGTTGCTTTTTACATCTCAGAGCCACTATCCCAGTCCTTTTAACAGCGTAAAATCTGCATTTGCCTAAATTAAACATCTTTACTTGTATTAATGTATAGCTGTGGATGCCTTTTGGTGCTGGTCAGGGACATCACTCACTGCAGAAACAGTCGTGATATGCTGACATTTTAGCAGATTTCTGAAAGACATGATTTTGTGGAGACATAACAGCTGAGAGGACTGAGCCAGTGTGTTTTCCTTGTCATGTCCCCGTTCCCAGGAATTTCCCAGAACTTCTACAGTGGAAATGCAGCCAGTTGTTATTATTTGAATCAGGTGCGGCAAAGGAACGACCATTTGTGCAAACACATTTTCTAAAACCAAGTTTCTTGAAACCACTGAAACACAGAACTGTGACGGGGTTTCAGTGGTTCGACCACCGGGTTCTGTTGGTGCTTTAGGTTTGAAAGAGAAAGTAAAGACGAGATGGGAACTTCCTCCTTCCTGTTAACTTAACAAATCTCAAAATTCCCTTAACTTCTCTGTCTCAATGCACCGTACCTTTTTCTTAGTTGCTTCCCTGCTGATGGAGACGATACGATGCCCTCGGTGTTCCGTCTGGGCACATTTGCTGCAAATGCATGCCCGATCGCTCTTGCAGAACATCTCCAACTTCTTCCCATGCAGCCCGCACACAGAGTCCTCCAGGTTCTTCACCACACTGATCAGCTGATGGCGCCCAAGATCTTCGGTCTGGTAATGCAGCTCCAGGTGAGAGCTGCAATAGGAGGCCAGGCACTGCAGGCAGGCCTTGACTGCAGGACGCTTTACCGGACACAAATCACAAGGAACCTCTCCGGCTTTTAGAGGAACTGCCTCACTAGGAGACGGTGGTGTTTGGTCCCTTTTCAGATGAGGCCTTCTTGAGAAGACAGTCTTGCAGAGGGGGCACTGGCAGGCTGCATGCCTCCAGTATTCTCCTATACACACCAGGCAGAAGCGGTGTCCACATGGGAGGGAGGTTGGGCCGGACAGGGCATCCTGACAGATGCAGCACTGAGGAGGCTCCGACATCAGGCCAAGACTCATCGTGTTTATCCTGAAACAGACGAATTAGAATCAGTTAAACAGCATCGCCAAGGAACCAAACCAGTCTGGGATATTTCTCAGAACAGACACAACAATCCTTTAAGAGGAAAAAGAACGTGAATCGGGAGCAGCAGGAAGTGGAGAGAGCACATACTTTAGGTTATCGGTGACGTCTGTTAGACGCGTGCTGCAGTGAGAAAGTCAGTGTAACAAGGAATCACAAGAACAGTAGTCCAGGTGTTACGTAACAGGATCTCGTTTCCCTCTAGGGCTGATGTTCTGTTTGCCTGCTGGGTGTTTTCTTTACCTCTGCAGCTTTAATACAGGTCTGAACAGAGTTACCTATGCTGAGATATGTGCTTACTGTGGGTGTGTGGTCGGTGAGAATATTAAATATTCAATTTTTAGGAAGTTCTTGAAATCCCAATTGTAGAACTATTTATGGTGAGAAATAATAAAATTCTGCTGTAATCAAATATTCTGAAAGCACACCTCTGTCTGTAACTTTGTAAATTTTCAAGACATGTCTCGTGCCATTTAGAAGTTTTTTTTAATGTAAAAATTGTAAATATTTAATAAAATCTTACCTTATGTGGATGGATAAGTTCAGGCCAAGAGGATTTACATCTTTTGATGAGCTAATGGCTAGTTGGAGAGCATTGCTGTTTTCTAAAAACTCAATTTCCTGTAAACCTTTTTGTTTTTGTTTACCCAAATGATACCTTTAAGAAGAAAGACACTTGTCTAAAAGAAATCCTAATAAGGTCCCTAGCTTATTTAATATCATTGGGACAGTAAACGGTCTTAGGAAACAGTTTCTGGGTAAAAATAATTGAAAAGTTTATCTAAAATGACCCAATTTGAGTCAATGTAATTTTAAAGAGACATGTTAGGTGGTTTGATTAGAAGCAACTGATCATTTACTTAACTATTGATTATATCTGATGATCAGTTTGTACTTCAGTTTTCCTCAAGTTTTTCATTTATGTTTTCTGTCACAAACTGTGAATAAATAAACACCTGCTACACACATCTGGACACCAGATGAGTATGAATTATAAACATAATAAGAGTGTATAATCAGGTTTCCAATTTAATATTTAATAATATTCATAGTCAGTGTCTGACTGGAGATGAAAAGTGAAAACGAAACAGTTCTGACTGATTCTACAGGAACATGTTTCAAAATCACCAATAAAGGTAAGAAATCTGTAAATCAAACATTTAAAAGTCATTTACCTTTCCGCAGCAGCTGTCAGCCTGTTTCCTGCTGCTTTGACAGCTCTGAGTCCATCTGAAGCTTTTTGAAGCTCCGCAGCCTAGAATAAAAAGGGGGCGGGGCTTCTGGACGGAAACTTCCTGGACGGAAACGCCAAGGATGTTTCCCAACAGCTGAGTGGGGTCACGTCACGAGTTCCTCCAGGCACCAGAAAAACAACATGACATTTATAATATTTGTGTTAGTTAACAGAAACAACCTGTAGACTGGCGAGTTCCCACTCAGCAGGCAGTTAATACTGCAACTTAGGTTGTTTCAAGCGTTATAATTTATAGTAAAAATAGCCGAAAAGATATAATACGTGTTATATTTAACATAGGTGAATTATAGCGTCGTTAGAAAACCAGATAGCTGAGAAAATAAGGATTATTTTTGAATAGAGGCGCAGCGTAGAGTCGGGTTGGTCTCGTGCTCAATTAAACACGTGATCACAAGCTTCCCCTGGGGCTATATTAGAGATAAAGTTGGAAAAACATTAAATGACAAAAGCAGAAAGTACACGATTGTGTAAATGTCACGATCACAAATTGTGTGTGTGTGTGTGTGTGTGTGCGTGCGTGTGCGTGCGTGTGTGTGTATGTGTGTGCGTGTGCGTGTGCGTGCGTGTGTGCGTATGAGTGTGTGTGTGTGTGTGTGTGTGTGTGTGTGTGTGTGTGTGTGTGTGTGCGTGTGTGTGTGTGTGTGTGTGTGTGTGTGTGATGGGGAGATTCTAAACTAAACAGTAAGAATGAAACTGAAACACGTGTCATAAGATGTTCATAACAGTAAATGGCATTACGCTCAGCTGTGGCATGAAGGTGTTCAGATTTTTTTATGTTTTTGAGGAGAGAAGATAAACATATTGCCACCGGTTGTACATCATGCTATGAACAGCCTCAGTCTAGAGAAACAGGTTAGTTCTGACTGGACTGCTGAGTCAGAACAATCATTAGGACAGGAAAAAAATAAAAGGCTCATAATGTTCACGTTCTACACACATTTAAAACTGATTAACTTTTGTATTCAGCTTGATTCAATATGGCTACCACAGCGACCACTGGCAAAAACAAAAATGGCCATAGCTACCAGATTAATGGATATTTAGCAGTAATTTCAGAGTCATAACTTAAATTTATTCATATGACACATTAAAATCACCACACCTTGTAATGCACACCTCCAAAAGAAATTTCGTCTTTAAAAATTTGATGTTATCTGTTCTGTAGTCCCTACAGCTCGTTAGCTGTTTCAGCTGGATATGAAAGCTTGGTGCTAAACACCGTTAGCTTTGAGATGTTTACCTTTTTGTTCATCTGCACAAAGATGTCTTAGAAAGTATTAATATCTAATTCCCTATAGGTTTTATTTTGTTAGCTGAAATCTCAGAGGTACAGCTCTGGATAATGGCTGGAGATGGGGTTCTTGCCCTTCAGCTAGTGTGGATGTGTGCACATACCCAGATGTAAAGACTAACTTTCAATAGGTCTATAAACAGAAGTCCAACCACTCAGTCATCAATTTATTCAATCCATGCCGAGAGTCCAGAGCTTGATTGCTCCCCAAACCTTCAATTTTCAGACCAGTAAGGCTGGTCTTTACCTTGCTATTGCCTTTACGTTCCAGTGTCTCTTTGAGTCACACACCGGCGTTCCTAGATTAACTACATGTCTGCAGCTCCCAGCGCTCGTTCTTCCGGCTTTGGGGCTCACCGACACGCTACAAACGAACTTGCTGATCTCAGTTCATTCCAAGACGTCACCAACGAAGCACTTCAGACAGCAAATAGGTGAAGTTTCATCACTGTTTGACATCACAAACCCTCTTTAGGATGGCCGTTTTACTGACAAAATAGTAACAAAACACAGTGGATACTTAAAGCATTACCAAAGGAATATTTACAGGACCCAAATCACTCACTTTGATCATATAAGGATCTTTATGTGAGCATTTGTTCCTCAGACTGGGAATCAGAAGAAGGTGACATTGACTCAGGCTGTCTTGATGGTTGCTCTGAAGTATCGAATATTTCTGAGGACAGCAGTTGCTCACCTTTGTTTTTAGCTTGAATGAAAGAGTGCATGAGGTTAAGAACGTATTCTCGCTCTTTCAGTGAAATGATAACCAAAGGCTCAGACTTCTTTGTTTTGCTGTAGAGGTAAAAGTATGGGAAAAGCTTCCCTGTGAATCCTTCCCCTGTGAAAGAGTGAATGTGCACCTTCTTGTTTACATCGTAGAACAACACTCTGCCTTCCCCGTAATGTAAGTAAACCTCTACTTCTCTCGGCCTGGGACACAGATGGAGAACTTAGCGGGGTCTGCCATTAACTTCGTAATCAAAGCCTGTCCTTCTGATGGAAAATAGTCCATTCTCTTTTATCACAAAGGAATTCTGAGATCTGTCAGCTGTTTCCAAGGCAACACCAATGTCCTAGTTGCTCCTCAGACCCACTTGGACTTCCCAATACTGCCGCACAGAGGTGTAGCCCTTCATCCCTAAGGTCATTGGGGTGCAGAACCTCAGTGAAGCATCAAATGTTGCAGAAGGCAAATTTGGAGAATTTCATGCATGTCCCAGATTCTATGATCACTAGGCCAACACCAGCAGCTGACTCATTAAAGGTGACCGATTCTAGAAACAGAAAAGGATTAGCTGAAGGTACTTCTTTAGAAAGAACATTTGAGAAATAAATAAAACCAAAACATAATCCGGCCTTTGTGTTGTCTCATTCTGGTCAGTTCTATAAGACGTGACACACAATTATTTCAAACTATGGACACACAAACTGAAGAATAAAAGAAATTAGCAGATGTTTTACCCATGCTTGTCAACCTCCTCAGTTCTGTGTCAAAGTTGGTCTCAAGATAAAACATGGCTCTATGCACTGTTTGCATGCACAGGTCAGAATAAACTGAGATGGTGGACCAGTCCTTGGTGTCCGACATGGTGTTCAGAGTCTGCAAAGTCTGAAATGAGTCATAGGAGTATGATGATGAGCGTCGGCTATGGGTTAAATGATTTAAAGATGTAAAAATAAGGATCGTCGGCTAGCAGTGCCTACACCACGCTCAAGACAATCCAGACTTTTCTCATGCATTGTTCCACAAATGTGGAATGACCTTCCAAGCACTACCAGAACTGCGGCTTCCTTTTCAATTTTCAAGAAACTCCTGAAGACCCTGCTCTTCAGAGAGCACCTTCTTAACTAGCACCTTGCCTCCACCCGTCCCCCCCTCTACTGTCCACTCCTTGTTCCCTCCTCTCCATGAGTGATGTCAATGTTGTTGTTGTTACTGTTGTTGTTAGCCTCAAGGGCAAAATGCCGATTATCACTTGTAAGTCGCTTTGGACAAAAGCGTCTGCTAAATACATAAACATAAACATAAACATAAGACAAAAACTATGAGGCATCTACTGACATCTCTGCACAAACATAGACTCCAATCTGGACCAAAGTACCAGGTACCGTCCTACCACTCTATGCTCAGTGTTTGTTATGGTCAATCCATGCTTGGTATGAAAGTCCATAACAAAACATTAACCAGGATCAGATCAGGGAAGCTATTTCTTCTCCACGGTCGCTACATGCTTGTTTAGTGTGGGGATTGTTATAAAGTCTCTGACACAAGTATTTTGACTCGATGCAATCTGCTGGGTTCCTTTCAAAAGAAACTTTCAACTAATTGACATAATGAACTAAACTAAACGCACAAGTAGAGTCAACTGGAATGTATGGTTTGTAAAGTGTCTTGAAATGACTTGTGATTTGACACTATATAAAAAACTGAATTGAACTGAAATTGAATTTCTTCCAATAACACCCTTCTACTCTAACACTGTCCTCATTGGCACTGAAATTTGCTCTGGGCGGCTGCATGTTGGAGTAGCTCTGTTGACTATATGTAAGTTTTGCCTTTTCTTGGACATTTTTTCTTCTGGTTTCTCAGGAGGAACGGTATTTTTTTTGGACATTTTACTTTTCTGTTTCTGGTACTGTGAAGCTTGGTGGAATTTAACTGCAATTTTTTCACTTTTTTCACTTTTTGAGCATTTGTTATGATGCGTAACCATGGCAACAAGCTGGTTTACAATCGGGAGCAGCTGATTAACATTGGGAAGGCTGAAATAATACCTCAACTGAAGCCACAAATCCCAAATGAGCGAATACGCAAGAGGCGTGGGTGCAGAGCGGGAGCAAAACGGAGACAGAGAAAGAGGAAATTCAAACCATCTCTTCCGTCAATCATAATGGGCAATGTGAGATCACTGGCCAACAAGATAGATGAACTCCAAGCCCTTTCTGGGACTCAGCCAGAGTATCGGCAGTGTAGTGTTATGTGTTTCAGTGAGACGTGGCTGCATGACCATATCCCCGATTCCAGCATCTCTCTGCCAGGATTCCTGACTGTACGAGCAGACAGAGATATGAAGAGGAGCGGGAAAAGAAAAGGAGGTGGAGTGGCAGTGCTTGTCAACAACAGATGGTGCCATCCAGGTCATGTTTCAGTGAAATGTCGTCTCTGCAGCCCAGAGGTTGAACTCTTGGCAGTAAGTTGTCACAGTAATGTATGACGTCACAGTGTCACAGACACAGTGACGTCATACATAAAATTCTGTGTGGACAGCATTAGGTTCCTACCCAAACTGAGACAGCTGAGGAGGGAGAAAGAAGCAGCCCACAGAGCCAAGGACAGAGAAAGCTACAAGGGCGCTAAGTACCAGTTCTCAAAAGAGTTGAAGAAGGCGAGATCTCGGTACAATAAACCTCTAAAGGAGCAGTTCTCAGACAATGACACCACCTCTGTCTGGAGAGGGCTCAGGCAAATCACCAACTACAAGCCTAGAGCCCAACTTGCTGCTGACGACCTACAACTGGCTGAAAAACTTAACTCCTTTTATGCCAGGTTTGAAGCCCCCCCCCACCCCCCCACCCCCCCACCCCCCCCACACACACACACACACACTGCACAGGTTTCTTCAGCCACTCTGGTGCCACATGCCTCCCCCACCACCTCCATCACTGTGAACAGTAGGTCCCCGCTGACCACCCCTCCCCCTCCACTGCCTTCTCAGTGACAGAAG